CCCAATGGGCTCCTAGAACTCAGAGACAAGTTTTAGAAGTCAAGACGTTTGATTTCCAAGAGCCCATTTGCAGGAACCTAAGAAATGAGCTAAAATGTTCTAGCCAAATGTCTGGATTATTGACATAGGATCCATTACATCCTATTCTAGCCAATGGGACTCCATGGGTATCTACATAGTATCAGCCACTTGGATGATGCTTAATGAAGAAGCTTCTCAATGATCCTCTCTTGGGAGCAAACAGGAATTGTGAAGAAGAGGAAATCAAAGGCCGGGGTGGAGCCTAGGTGAAGAAATACATTGAGAAGGCATCTTCCCGGGATGGCGGCCTCGTATGTGCACGCACACACAATCACACATGCCCCGCCTGGGACCCTTCCCTTCCGAGAGCTCCACTGCAATAGTCAGTCTTGTCCTGCCTCAGAATCCTGCAAAGGGCAGGAAGAAGCCAGAGGGGATGCTGTGTGGCAGTCTGGCAAGTTGAAATCAGATTCTCTCTTTCAGATGTCATTGTTCCCTCGTACTTGTGAGCCCAGCACACTATTATTCTTGTTCGTTCAGACGGGCTGCACACCCACCCCACCTTAGTGCCACTTCAAACGTCAGCTGACAGATGTCCTATTGGATACATGAGCAGCGAACTGAACTTTGAGCTTAGCCTACGAGAGGTGGTACAATGTGAACATATTACATATTAGCCCCCAAGCTATATAAATAGATGAAACCAGTCTGTTATTAAGGGATATCAAGGTACCAAGTTCTTTGAATACGTTTTTAAATATAAAATTCTCACATTACGTAGTAATTTCTATGTCTACATGTCTGTCTCCCTCCATAGACTATGAGTAGTTTAAGTGCCAAAACTATCTCATTGTAGGGGCGCCTGGGTGGCTCAGTCAGTAAACATCTGCCTTCAGCTCAGGTCATGATCCCAGGGTCCTGGGATCGAGTCCCACGTCGGGCTCTCTGCTCCGTGGGGAGCCTGCTTCTCATTCTCCCTCTGTAGCTCCCCCTGCTTGTACTCTATCACTCTGTCAAATAAAATAAAATAAAATAAAACTACCTGGATTCTGACCCCAGCTCCCTCCTTACCAGCTGTGTGCCTTTGGACAAATTGCTCAATCTCTCTGGAGTTTCCAGATTCTCCATCTCTAATATGTTGCGATGATATCAGACACCGCACTAAATGCATTCCACAGCACCTGACACAAAGTAAACACTCAGTATTATTACTATTATTGAATTCAGGGTGTCCGGCCACTGAAGCTACCAGAAAACTCCAAGCCTTTAGGTCGTTTCATCCCCAATTCTAGTCAAGAAAGTCCCATTTTGTGAACCTTCATTTCATAAGCTGAGACAGGATTTAATGGCCTTCCAGAATGTGAAGGGCACAGGTGGTGGTAAGCAGCTGCTCCCCATCTCTGCTGAGGACGAGCTGAGAGTCTTAAAGAGCCACATGAGTGATTTGGGTATAAAGTATTAGGAATCGCTTCCTAATGTTCGAGGGTGTGAAAGTCTGGGCTGCCTGGAGGGCAGCCGTGGAATCCCCCTCTTGAGATTCTTTAAAAATTGAATACTTAATCGGCTCTAAGGTGGATAAAGACCAGGAAAGCACCTCACGTTCAAGTAACAGTTTGTTCAGGTCAGTCCAGTTATGCTGCTGTTGACCTAGTTCCGGTGAAGAGCTATTACCTGGAAAGATTCATACAGAAAGGAAGACAGTATGGAAGGCAGATTCCTCTACTTAGTGAGCTTGTAATAAAGCATTTTAATATGGGGCGCCTGGGTGGCTCAGTTGGTTAAGCGACTGCCTTCGGCTCGGATCATGATCCTGGAGTCCCGCGATCGAGTCCCGCGATCGAGTCCCGCATCGGGCTCCCTGCTCGGCGGGGAGTCTGCTTCTCCCTCTGACCCTCCTCCCTCTCATGCTCTCTCTCATTCTCTCTGTCTCAAATAAATAAAAAATAAAATCTTTAAAAAAAAAAAAAGCATTTTAATATGCTGTTAACCCTCATTCAAAATAACCTCACATCTCAGGGCGCCTGGGTGGCTCAGTCGTTAAGCATCTGCCTTCGGCTCAGGTCCTGATCCCAGGGTCCTGGGATCGAGCCCCGCATTGGGCTCCCTGCTCAGTGGGAAGCCTGCTTCTCCCTCTCCCACTTCCCCTGCTTGTGTTCCCTCTCTCACTGTCTCTCTCTCTGTCAAATAAATAAAATCTTTAAAAAAAAAAAAAAACCTCACATCTCATTGAGCCATTTCTGGAGGACCCTGAAAGGCGGGGGCCTGGCTCGAGCACTCATGAGAGCCGGCAGCGTTGGGGGCCCCGTTTAGCGGCAACCTCAGGTGAGTGCCCCGCATCCTGTGGTGTGCAGATCATGATGTTGGCAGTTTCCAGCTTAAGATGGCAAACAGAAGAGGAGAAAAGTCCCTTCCAGTCCACTGTCCGGGGGTGGGGGGGGTGGGGGGTGGAGTATCAGAGAAACACCTATGAGTGCACAGACCCAAATTTTACACCTATTATTCTTTTCAAGCAGAAGACTGTTTTGCATATTTCCTCTTGGGAAGAAAATACTCTGATTTTAGTGAAGAGGTGGATGCAGCCTCTTGCTCTTCGTCTTGGTTGCCCAGAGGAAGAGAGCAAAGAGAAAAAAAAAAAAAGATTTCCGGGGGCGGGGGAAGAAAAGCTCGCAGAGGCTTTGATCCTGAGTAACCTAAAGCATGAGTTAAGGCTGAAAGGGGAGGGTGCGCAGGTGACTGAGGAAGCCGGGCTGGTTTGCAGTTTTCTGGCCGAATAAGGGGATTAGACAGAAGCCTGGAATGGTGATATGTGATAAAGACAAGTACATGGAATGTAATGGTTTGTTCTCTTCCAAATTACTGAACATTAAGTTTAAATGTTTTCATATAAATATTAAATTATATGTATATTGCAGGATCTCGCTTGCACATCACCACTCAGTTTAAGGAAAATGGAGCTTCTTTGTTCCCTGTAAGTATTCTTCCTCCAAGCTCACGCCCCATTGAAGACTAGGGGAGAAAACAAACTTGCCAATTGATAATATCTCAGGCTCTTCTCTTTCAAGCAGGGTCTCTCGGTAAAGGCTTCCCTTAGAGAATTCTGTTCATCCTCACTCCCCAAAACGGCTCCTGGTGATGGGAAAGCAGGTGGCTGATCTGGCTCAGCCTTGCCCTGCCTTGCAGGGGCACAGCTGGTCCCTTGTGGCCTTGAGGGACACTGGGCCATCATTCCCTGCAGTCATCCACATATGCCAGGCTGTGGGGGCTAGCAGCTCTGCCTCAGGCCATGGCCAGCCCCAAGGCCAAGCTTCTATGACTCTCAAGCCACATTGGACAAGTTGCCAGGTCCGAGCCAGCTTCTCCAGGCTGGCAGCCTTCCCGGAGCTACGGATGAGGGAAGGGCCCCAAGCTCTCAGGCTCCCCAATCCCCAGCAGCTCCGCTCACAACCTGCTCTGCTCCCCAAGCTTTCACGTCCTAAAGAAGGAAACAGATGCACTTGCTTTCGCTACAGTTGGTTCGAACCAGCTGAAGCTATAAAAGAATCAGGACCTTTAGCAAACTCACCACTAAAAAAAGCTGATAAACAACCAAGAACTCTGAGTGACCCTGGTCATCAGACCTTGCCGGACCCAGCTGAGGGCTCTTTCCTGCCCAATGAACAATGGGACTTGTTTCAACCAACCACATGCAGATTAATGGATGCACTCTGACTTTGCAGAGCACAAGTTGTCCATCGTGAATTAGCATAAATCTCATGACCTCCTCCCTTTCTAGCACATAAAGCCCCCTGACTTTCCCTCAGAAATGTCGTTCACTGCTGTGTAGCCCCTTGCCAAGGAGGTAACTCAGTTCAGTGCCGGCTCTAGTGATGCTTCAGTCATGGATTTTCCAGAAATTTCCCCAATGGGAGGAGGAAGTGAGTACACAGGCCTCTGAGGTCTTTGCCTTCCTCTTCGGTCCTCACTCTCCTCCTCTAAAGAGCTTCTTAGGCCTTCCCTTCTGCCATTGTTCCCAGGGGCACTAAGCCACATGACCTAGCATTGGTGGCAGGATGCAGGAAGAGAAACTAGCTTAGTAATTAGGATACCTATTGAGTAGTAGGGTTTTTAAGATTTATTTTTGTTTATTTATTTGAGAGAGCATTTGCATGCACACATAAGCAGGGGGACGGGCAAAGGGAGAGAATCTCAAGCAGACTCCCCACTGAGTGCAGAGCCTGATGCAGGGCTCAACCCTGGGCTCATGAGCTGAGCCGAAACCCAGAGTCGGATGCTCAACCTACTGAGCCACCCGGGGCCCCAAGAAGTAGTTTTAAATTACTGTTCCATTACCTATATCATGAATGAAAGATCCAAAATTTAATTTGGTAGGCAATGAGACAGTCTGGATTGTACTTATTAGATTGCTTACTAATAATTTTTTTAAAGATTTTATTTGAGAGAGAACACAGTTGGAGAGTGAGAGGAAGAAGCAGACTCCCTGCTGAGCAGAGAGCCTGATGTGGGTGAACTGTGGATGTGCTAAGATCCAAGTCAAAATCGTTTGGTTCCTCTCAAACTCACACACAGCTGCCATAGTACCGCCACTGGGTGTCAGCATACCAAACCGAAGGCAGAGGTCTTTTAGAGGAAATAAGGCAACGGCATTTACCAAGGGCCGTCTCAGTCCAAAAAACACTTATGCATACATTTCCTAATTTAATCTGAGAGATGAAGAAACTTTTGAGAGAACAGAAAATGCAATAGTTAATGGAGTGACTGATTTGTATCAGAGGTGTTTTGTCTCTACTTTCTAAATTGAAAAAATAACATTAGAGTAGACTTGGAAGTTAAGAGGATCAGTCCCCAGATTCTTCGTTAACAAAGGGCTCTTTCCAGCTATATGCACCTTATCACACAATGAAACCATTATTAGAAGCACTTCAGGGAAGAGTGTGCTCAGTGTGCTCTCTCCCTCTGCAAAAATCAGCCAGAGACAAGCATTTGCTATAAAATTATCTGGTTTAATCACTATCAACATCAGAACTGTAGTACATTAGAGTACAAAACCCATATGTACAATTACACATAGAAAAAACTTTCTTTGTGAGGAGCAATTTTCAGCAAATCTGACAAACAGCAAGAGTCATCCCTATTTTGGGTTTGAAAAGAGAACTGGAAATTTCCAAGATGTCCCCCTCCTCCCTCTGGCTCCAGTGACCCTCCCAACATCCATTTGCAAAGGCCTGAGGTAGGAAGGGTGGTATTAACACTATCGAAGGCACTCATTCTCCTCTCTTATGGAAGGGGTGAATTTTTAGGAAACATTTCCCATCATTTATTACACTGATGTTCCATCCATCTGTATCATTAGGTTCAGTAGTTACCATGACAATATGATGCCTACAGCAATCTAACTTGATAGCCAGATGCCAGAATGTGAAAAAATAGGACCAGCTAAGAAAGTGAGAGAAATATAATTAATCTGAAGCACATAAAAATGTGCACAAAACTAGGACCAAGAGGGAAACTGCTGAAATGTCAGTGAGGAGGGAGCTCTGCTGGGAAGCAGTAATCAAGTTTCAGCATATAAACTTTGCTAACTAGAGCTGTGAATTGGTCTCTAACTAAGACTGAGGAATGCATCAACATTGGTCACGAATATCGCTCTGGGCGCCTCCCCCAAATAATTTCCTGCCGCAAAGCCCAGTGGATTCGTCTTGATTCCAGCTGAGGGAATTCCAAGTTCGCTTGACTCTCCTGAGGATCTGAAGCTACCATCCTGAATGCTCCCGCCATGGCATCCTGCTCACCTCCGGTCTGCTGTTCTACCGAGCTTTTCCATCCGACGTGGTACTAGCCATCATTCTGAAGCTAATGTTGAGACTGGACTGAGCTGTGTCCTGGAAGACCCTGTCCCAGTGAAGGCAATAGGCCAGCAGGACCCTCTGGGGGGCCCCAATATGGCAGAGGGGTTGGAAATCAAGGAAGGAGACCAGCCTGGGACAGGTGGCCATTATCATCATGGCTGGGTTGGATAGCGGCGCTGAGCTAGGCGATTCGGTCGGTTCAAACTACTAACCATGGAGAGCTGGAAAAGAAAAAAGGTTGCCTGAGATTATAGCTCCAAGCAGGACTCCATCCAGGGCTGGCTGGTTGGACTGAGCTAGGGCATCCTGAGTCTAGAACACTCAGGCTGCATTTGGCTTCCCATGGTGATATTCTAATTATTTACTTTCACCCGACATCTGCACCTCTTAACTATAGCAAAAGAAATTCAATTTTATTAAGAGGCAAGGCCAGGGCACCTGGGTGGCTCAGTTGGTTAAGCGACTGCCTTTGGCTCAGGTCATGATCCTGGAGTCCCGGGATCGAGTCCTGCATCGGGCTCCCTGCTCAGCAGGGGGTCTGCTTCTCCCTCTGACCGTCCCCCCTCTCATGTGCTCTCTCTCTCTCTCTCTCAAATAAATAAATAAAATCTTTTAAAAAAAAAAAAAAGAGACAAGGCCAAATGGGTACATAAGAGCAATCAATCTACTCCCAAGTCACTGAAGGGCAGGGATTTTAGTTTCTCTCAAAGTTTGCAATGATCCCTGACACCCCCAGGTGGAGTGACGGTATTTCCACACCACTGGTACCAACACCTATGTGTCTCTCAGAGTCTCAAGACCTGTGAAAGGTCAAGAGTGGTATTACTAATAGTGACACTGACTGAGCATTTTCCATGCATGAGGCCCTTCACACACATGCTCCCATTTAATCCTCACGCCCACCCCCGCGAGGTGGCTACTACTAACCCCACTTTACAGATGCAGAAACTGAGTCTTATAGAGGGTAAGTCATTGTGCAAGAACCCACACACACTAAGTGGCAAACAAGGACTATAAACTTGGATTGCCTTCATCCAAAATTTGTGCTCCTAACCCCTCTCCCTCAGGGCTCCCTTACCTGGGGGACCTGAGATGGGTTGTAGAGAGGAACACTTCCTTTCAAGGGAGTTGGGGGAAGCAGAACACCAGGGTTGAAGTAAAGCTCAGAGGAAACAGCCTGTGATGGAAAATAATAGAAAATCCTATCAGTCGCCGCTTCTGGTTCCAGAACATCAAGGGTTTCCCTCGAGTGTCAACTTTGGTCAAGAGATACCGATGAAAAGGATTTCCTGATAGACCTCAGGGAATTCAAGCAAACAAACGTGATTCAAGTGGGCACGGCCAACCCCTGGGTCTGGGGTGGCAAAAGCAGAGGCTCAGGGTCTGCTGCACCTGGAGCGAGTGACAAAAAAAAGCCACTGTCAATTCTCTTGATAGCACCATAAAAAGTAGTATCATATTCTCGGAAAGGCCTAAAATACTGCAAGAGTGCTCTAACCCAACCACAAGAAAATAAAAATGTTTTCCTAGCAATCGGCATGAAATACGTACCATGTGGACGATTCATCAAGAACTTTTTACAGCCCTTGCCAAAGTCCCTGGTGAGCTCTGGGACACGGAAAGAGGCCGTTCTCTAGACTTCACCTAAGGAAGTCGTTATGGGCTACATCATGTCCCCCTGAAACTTCCTATGTGGAGATTCTAACCCCCAGTACTTCAGAATGTATTTAGAGGTAGTGTCTTTAAAGAAGTGTTTGAGGGGGCGCCTGGCTGGCTCAGTCAGTAGAGCATGTGACTCTGGATCTCGGGGTTGTAAGTTCAAGCCCCACGTTGGGTGTAAAGATTACTTAAAATCTTAAAAAAAAATAAAGAGGTGATTAAGGTAAGATGAGGGCATTAGGGTGGGCCCTAAGTCAATGTGCCCGGTGTCCTTATAAGAAGGGGAAGTTTGGACACAGAGACACACAGAGGGAAGACCCTGTGAAAGCCATGGCCATCTACAAGCCAAGGAATGAGGCCTCAGGAGAAACCAACCCTGCCAACACCCTGCCTCAGACGTCCAGCCTCCAGAGCTGTGAGGAAATCACTTTAAGCTGTAGCCTGTGACATTTTGTCATGGTGGCCCTAGCAGACTACTACAGAAGCTTTCTGCCCTCACCGGGTGGCACCTCCAGCCCACACTGAATGTTCAGTCCTTGCACACGCAGGCCTCTGGTGGGGCCCTAAGCTCCAGCCTGGGGGCTGCTCACCTCAGGCCCAGACAGGCCTTCACTCCCAGCGCCCTCAGCTGCTCTCCCACCGGACGCTGATCCTCGGACTTGGCCCTCGCCTGGAAAGCAATGAGTCAGAGCTGTTTCCACGGCTCAGGGCTGAGGAAGGCCCGCTCTCAGAAGGTGCCCCCAAGGCCCGAGGTACCTCAGACCCAGAGAGCCCACAGACCCAGAGGACATGAGGTTGGCGGTACCTGTCGCTCCAGACAAGGTGTCCGGCAGAGACTGGGGCTCCGGGAGAGAGGTCAGTGTGAAGCCAGGGCCAGCCTCAGGGGGAGAAGATGCTCTGGAGGTCTCCTGCGTCGTGGAGAAAGACAGGCAGAGTTGGAGGTACTGGTTGCTAACAAACTCATGCCCACAACAGCGGCCCCAACCTGTGACCTGCGGCTGGGGACTCACCCCAAAACTCTCGTGCCACCCCTCCGCTCAGTAATCAAACAACTACTGGTGCCCTAAAGTTAATATTCTTCGTCCTAATTTTTAAGACCCAGTTGGCCTTTGCCAATTGCCAGATGCCAGCTCTGGGCCTCAGAGGCTCTGAGGAAACTTCCTCCAATGGACCCACAGGAGAGGAAGGGTCCTTGCCCCTGGGGCCCTCTCACTTACCTCAGAGTTGGGACTGTCAGATGAGTCTTCTCCAGAGGCGGATGCATTGTTGGTGGGCTTCGAGCGAAACCAGCTGAACCAGCCAAACCCGGAGCTCTGGAAGGGAAAGGAGGAGATTTAGGGCCTACAGGTGTGCTTCTCCCACTGACTAGGAGACAGGCCCACCCCAGTACGATGCTGGGGAGTCGGAGGCCCTGCCAAAGCCTAGGTTCCCAAGTCTGCCCCCCACACCATTTGGGAAGGGGACGGCAGAACAAGACCATCCACCTTCATGTTCTCTTTCTCGTCTCCTGGCTTTTCTTTCTGTGCCAGGCTTTGGGAAGATTTTTTATCTGCCTCATCGGAGGACTCCTCCTCATCCTCCTTGACTGAAACAGTGGAACTCTCAGAATTATTTCGTGATCTGGGAATCGCTGGCACCTGGAATTAAAGAACATAAGAACGAACGTTTTTATAGCACTTGACAGGTTATGAGGGCAAATCACATGTTCTCCCTCACCAGCCCCGCTAAGTAAATCACTGGGATGGCCTTACAGGCTCACATTTTACTGACGAGGAAATCAGGCTTAGCTAGGAGAAATGATTTGCCGAAGGCCGCAGGACAAGGCCAGAGCCCATCCCCATCCTTGTGTTATCCCCTAATCCTCTGGGCTTCCGGCCGCTGTGCTCCCTCCCCACATCAAAGTTCCAGAATTATGCTGAAGCCTGGAGCAGAGGATGTGGAAGGCCCCCGGTGGAGAGGAAGCGGGACAGGACACACCCCACGGGTACCTACACACCCAAAAGGACAGAGACTGACCCTCATTCATCTGAGAGCTCATTCCTAGCAGACTTGTTCAAGATCAACTGAGAACAAATGCAACAGAGAAGGGCAAAATATGCCCATGTGCCTTTATATTTGTGGGGGGGTGGAAAATATACATAGCATAAAATTCACCGATTTAACCATTTTTAAGTGTGCAATTCAGTGGCATCAGTATATTCCCAATGTTGTATAGCCACCACTAATAATCCATTTCCAGGGGCGCCCGGGTGGCTCAGTCGTTAAGTGTCTGCCTTCCGCTCAGGTCATGGTCCCAGGGTCCTGGGATCGAGCCCCGCATCGGGCTCCTAGCTCCGCGGGAAGCCTGCTTCTCCCTCTCCCACTCCCCCTGCTTGTGTTCCCTCTCTCGCTGTGTCTCTCTGTCAAATAAATAAAATATTTTTTAAAAATAATAATAAATAATCCATTTCCAGAACATTTAATTAACCTCAACAGAAACTCTGTGCCCACTAAACACTAACTCCCCATTTTCCCCTCCCCCCAAGCCCCTAGGCACCTCTACTCTTTTTGTCCATAAATTTGCCTCTTCTAGGCACCTCATATAAGCAGAATCACACAACATTTGTCCTTCTGTGTTATATTCACATTCTATACTCCAAAAAGGCATAATTGGTACAACCCTTGGAAATACTTTGGCAAATCTAGAAAAAGCTTCAATTTTTTATTCTGAGTACAGCATTTACTAGGTAGTAAACGCTGTTCTAAGCACTTATATATAGTGATTCGTTTAATCCTTACAACTGTCCTGTGAGGAGGGTTATTATCATCCCATTTTACATATGAGAAAACTAAGACACAGAAAGATTAGGCAACTTGTCTAAGGCCACACAGCTAGGAGATGGCAGAGCAAGGATTCAAACCTCAGCAGTCTGACTCCCTTTCTAGGACTTTCTCCCGGTTGAGTAATTCAAGAAATACACAAGGTTTGCACGTCCATCACTAGAATGTCCACCACCGTGTTTTACACGTGAGGGGAAGGGAAAGGAAATCAAAGAGAGAGGAGGAAAGAGAGAAAAGGAAGAGAGACACACTTGAAATGTCTGCCCCCCCATTCTGACCTCTGCTCAAGACCTCCCCAGAGGGGCCCTCCCCGGCCAGCCCATCTAAAGTAAAATCCCTCATGCACACAGTTGTTTATTTGAGTCACCTCCACTAAACAGAAGCACATGGGAGTAGGCTTTGTCTGGTTCCCTATGTGTCCCCAGCCCTGTGACTGTGCTGGGGACATTATAGGAACTTGGGATTTGTGAATGAATGAACGAATGAATGAATGAATGAATGAATGAATGAATGAATGATGGTGCTTTCACATAATGGACTTGATCATACCAATATTAAAAATCATTAATGGGGGCACCTGGGTGGCTCAGTCGGTTAAGCGTCTGACTTTGGTTTCTGTTCAAGTGGTGATCTCAGGGTGGTGAGATGGAGCCCCATGGACGGCTCCATGCTTAGCGCAGAGTCTGCTTAAGTTTCTCTTTGCCCCTCCTCCACCCTTGCATGCTCACTCATGCTCTCTCTCTCTCAAATAAATAAATCTTAAAAAATAAAACAAAATAGGGGTGCCTGAGTGGCTCAGTTGGTTAAGTGTCTGCCTCGGCTCAGGTTGTGATCCTGGGTGATTTTTTGCTAATTTTATGCTATGTGATCTAATTGCCCCACATTTTTTTGCTAATTTTATGCTATGTGATCTAACTGCCCCACATAGGGCTCCCTCAGCAGGGAGTCGGCTTCTCTCTCTCCCTCTGCCCCTCCCCCCCACTCGGGCTGGCATGCTCTCTCTTTCTCTCTCATAATAAAATAAATTTTAAAAATAAATAAAATAACAATAAAATAATAAATAAAAATAAAAATCATTTATGAATGACATGGAAAACCTCATTTTATAGTATTAAATAACAAATAGGAAATAAAGTTTTCTATACACATTCAGAAACATATGAGTAATATTTGATTGATAATTTATGATACTTTTTCTTTATTTTTCAAGTTTTCTATAACAGTAATGTACTACAGTACATTTCAGTCAGGAAAAAATAAGGAAAGCATAAAAGTTTTTAAGTCCTACAGTCCCATTACTACTTGAGACATTTATAGGATGTAACCACTATTTATGTGATCAAATTTATACAATGAAACCCTCCAGCCTTCAGGCAAAACTGAAGAACATCTCAAATACCCATTGTTGGGGGAAGGGTTAAGTGTCTAGCTAACACAGTCAATTAGGCAGGGCCACCTCCAAGACCTTCCAGCCTAACTGAGGAGAAAAGACACAGCAGCCATAAATCCTTCTTGGAAAAAAAAGTGAGGTAAAAATTACAATAAAGAAATAAGCATCAGGGCGCCTGGGTGGCTCAGTTGGTTAAGCGACTGCCTTCGGCTCAGGTCGTGTTCCTGGAATCCCAGGATCGAGTCCCACATCGGGCTCCCTGCTCGGCGGGGAGTCTGCTTCTCCCTCTGACCCTACCCCCTCTCGTGTGCTCTCTCTGTCTCTCATTCTCTCTCTCAAATAAATAAAATCTTTAAAAAAAAAAAAAAAAGAAAGAAGCATCAAGAGTTCCCCATGACAGGGCAGGATGTGGTGAGTGGTGCAACAGGTGAGGAGAGGATGTGAGAGATCTCTGAGGCCAAAACAAAACTCGGCCCCGCCACCCCTCCCCCCCTGGACACTGGTTGTGTCAGGAACATGGCCCTCCTCCCCACCACTAGGATTTGGTGAAACAAGGTACAGCGTGGAAGGGAGAGCAGGTACCAGGCAGAAGAAGGAGTCTGCACATGGCTAAGAAAGCTGGGCCATTGGAAAAAACCGGAAGCATTAGAGTAGGCATCTGCTGTGCTTTGTCTTCTCACCTGGGGTTGGGAAACAACATTTTGACCATCAGGATGCTGGAAACTTCCTTGAGACACTGTGTTCTCTCCTATGGCACAAAACACAAACACCGTGATTTGAACTTGAGCTTTTCCTATCTAACCTGAAGAAAGAATGGGACGCAGTCAGCTTTTCTAATTGCCAAGAAGCTGCAGGTCCAAGCCCATGACTCCAAGTGGGTCACATTAATGTGAAGTCCACATACAAAACCCTCTCAATTCCAGCCGCCTGAAGACATGCTGGTCACCTGACCTCTACTCCAAGCCAAGCCATTCCTTAGGAATCCTGGAAACCAGGGCCACGTGGAACTAGATCACAGGGATCCTCCCGACTTTCCTCCATTTGAGCCTCCTGTCTTGGACAGGACATTATCTTAGAAGGTTGAAGATCTAATCCAGAGCTCCCCTGGTGTCACTCAGCACGGCTCACCACACTCAGCCCCTCTGTTTCCCATCACCACCCTTGGGAGCAGGACAGAAGAGTGGGCCTCTGCTAGCGACCCCTGACAGTGAGCTCTTGGGTGCAGGACGACACAGCTGGAGGCGCAGATGGCATTTCCCTCCTTCCTCCACCCTGCAACCTCTCTTCTAGAAACTATGCATCCAAGAGGAGGGCAGGAGGAACTGCTGTTGGCCTTGTCGTTTGTCCCAGTGGAGAGGCAGACTGCAAAGGAAGGGAGCAGCGTCCCTCGGACGCATGCAAAGTACCAGCCCCAGGGCTGCCGCGTAGTCAGGCGCACACCATTCAGGGCTTTATCGGCTCTGACCCCACCTCCTCCTACTGGTCCCTCCACCTCCCTCTTTGCTTCCTCCCCTTCAAAACTCCTCACCCAGGTCTTACCAACGGGTGGGTGTATCTGCTGGGTTTCCTCCCAGGCTCCTCCTCCAGGAGTCCCTGTCACGGCCAGGCTGCCACCAGTCCCAGGAACTGAGTAAAGAGGCACAGGGACCTCGGTCTGCCCCACACTTCCTCCTGCTGGGTGGGGAAAGGGCTGTTGCAGGCTGGGCTGGGACGGCCACGTCCGCTCTAGGGCTGGCCACAAGGCTGAGCGGTCCCCAAGGGCTCCTGAGTCGCTTTGATGTCCCGAAAGATCATGGTAGAAAGTGCTTTCTAAGGACATAGGGCAAAGAAGAAGAGCTGAGACCTGAAATATGGCATTAGAATGGACCAATCACACCAGAACCATTCTTGCCCACGTCCTCCTTGGAAAGAAGTCACAAAGACAGGCCGCTCAATGTGGCTGCCGTTCATGCAATGACAAGTACAACCCAGCTGTGATTGGAACGCCTCTCACTGCTTATGACTTAGAGTTGACAAAATGATTTCCTTCACTCCCGTGTATGATCTCCGAGCCTTAAGGGAGCAATTAGTGCACTGAGGGGATAGAAATTACCACCTCATTTAATGCCATACTTTTTTACTTTGGGATAAACTTTCCCCTTTAAGGATTTCCTCATGGACTTGGGTGTTTGAACAGTTTCTAGTTAAAACCCGAATCGGACCACAGACATGATGGCTTTGCCCTGGAAGCAAGCGTGGAGGTATTCCTTCGGGCTCTGCCATTTTGCCAGTGAGATGGATGGTGGTGTGGACGTGTGCCGTGATGGGCCCAAGGTCACGGGGCTGCTGGGGCTGCTGGCCCACATGCTCAGCTGGATGACAAGAGACACAGCTGCCTCCTAGCAGAAGCGGTGTTCAGAAACACCCAGCCTGGCTCCCCTCCAGCCCGTGACCTTCACAGGTTCCGTGACATAGCACCAAAGCCCAGGTGCAGAAACCTCGCCTGACTGCCTGGCCTTCCCCTTGCTCATCCGTGAAGGAAGTGCTAAAGGGTGGGAAACGGCTAGAGGTAAAGAGAAGAAGCCCTGCCCTGACCCCACTATGGGGGGGTAGCTGGAGGAAAGGGCGCAGAACCAGCTGGGGGTAATACTTTCTGCCCGACCCAGCGCCCAGAGGAAGCCTGAGGGGAAAGGAAGGACATGCTGAAAATAATTTGAAACGTATGTCACATGTGTATAGCAATCGAATGCTCAAAACTCAAACTGATAGCTCAAAAAAACCTTCTTATGTCTCCAACACCTACATGACGTATGGACAATCCACCATCTCTGGCTTCCTCTCTGGGGGGAAGCTACTGAGGCTGGCGAAACCATGAGATCACAACACAATACAATGAGGATTAAAACCTGAATGTGAGGCAGAAACTCTCACAATGCGGGAACTTAGCAGTGTTGGGATGCCTGTGGCCGGCTGGAGCTGTGGGGAAAAGGTGCCTGGACCAATGGATCAGATTGAAACAGGCAAGGAAGCGCTCCAGGAAGGGCAAGCAGAGTGTTCCCTAAGGTCTGCATCTCGTATGACCAGGTGCTGAGCGTCAGCCCTCCCCACACTCAGGTCGTCGGCGTGGGTACCTGCCGTCCCTCTGGCTCCCGAAGTATCTGAGTGAGCAGAACGAAGATCCCCAGTGTCTCCTGCTACCTTGTGCTAGTAAAATAAAGTAAAATCTTTTTAAGCCACACAAAGAAAAGCAAGAACAGGGAACAACAGTTTAAAAATTAAGTCAAGGGGTGGCTGGGTGGCTCAGTCGGTTAAGCGCCCCTGCCTTCGGCTCAGATCATGAGCCCGGGGTCCTGGGATCAAGTCCTGCATCGGGCTCCCTGCTCAGCGGGGAGTCTGCTTCTCCCTCTCCCTCTGTCGCTCCCCCTTCAAGTGCACTCGCGCACTCTCTCTCTCTCTGACAAAGAAATGAAATCTTTAAATAAATAAATATTTTAAAAAATAAAAATCAAGTCAAAAAGAAACTTCAGAGGGAGTGGCAAGGTAGGGGAATGTCGCCTGAATGCCAAGGGCTGGTGGGAGAGGCACATGGGCAGGAGGGAGGCCTCAGCCCTGCTCAGAGCAGGCAGGGACCAGGACACCAGCGCCATCCATCATCTCCCCGAGGAAGAGGCAAGTGGAAGGGACCAGACCGCGGGGCCCAGGACCCCGTGTGCGTAGCACAGGGCGGGAATCAGGGCTGCGTGTGCCTTGAAAAATCCACCCTGTCCTGTCTTCAGAGACGGCGGAAGAAAGAGAATGGAGGCAGCCCCGTTCCAATTATGTTACAATTACCGCTGGCAGCTTTTGCACTTGTCAGAACAAAAAGGAAAGGCCTGGAAATCTTTTAAGCAATTGCCCTACATTCCATGAAAGTGACATGGGTCCACTGTGATCCGTAGATCCTAACAGAGAGATGAAAGCTTTAATGGTCATAAAATGTATCTTCTAGGACCCCAGAGAAGGGTGGCAAGGGGCATCAGCAAGAGGGCCCCAGGTCTCACAGGCTGACACAGGAAACCCTTTCCACCCTAGACAGGGACCGGGGCGGTGGGGGGGAAGCTGGGAGGCTGAGCGCCACCCCTGCCCGGGTCAACCTGTGCCTCGTGGGTGCTGGGGGACTTCAGGGCCCTCCACGGGGTCGGGGACTTGCCAAGGTCAGTGCCTGCCTACTCGGTGCTAGGGGAGCGAAGAGAGAAACAAAGGTCTCAGCCCCTGGCCCGGCTCCAGCCCCACTCACCGCCAGCTCCTCGAGCCGCCTGCGAAGGGGCACCAGCTCCTCAAATCGCCTGCGAAGGGGCACCAGCCAGGCTGGCTCCGGGTCCCTGTCTCCACGGTGTCTCTCTACAACCAAGGGATCTGACAGCTTCAATCTCTCTGCTAGCTGTGCCAGGTTTCCAGCGGGGTCAGGGGTGAAGGTAAGAGAGGGGAAAGGAGAAACAGAAACACAATAGGGAACGAGGCAATAAGGGAATGGGATAAAGACAATCTTCACGCCCTTGCCAATTAGATTACAAAGAATAACCGAGAGGTAGCAAATTCAGCAGGTACCTTCCCGAAATTGCAACATAAACAATTAACCCATCTTGATGTTAGATCCTCCATAAGATGTAAGAAGAAACTGTTACCCAGCTCTGCATCTCTGCAAAGAGGGGTAGAGCCTCTAGCGAGGCTTCCCAAACTCCAGTGCCCTGGGGAACCACCTGGACTGTTGCTAAAATGCTAAATCTGATCCCAGAGTTCTGGGTGGGGCCTGAGATGCTGCATTTCTAACCAGCTTCCAAGTAATGCCCACACTGCTGGTCGAGGGGCTACCTTGTGTTGCAAGATTCTACTCCCTTATGAAGTCCCCAAACTTCCCAGCTCCTCCATGCCAGGTCCCTGAGGCGCTACAGCCCCCGGCCTGTTGGCAGACCCCTCAGGGGCAGGGGGCTTGGCACTAGAGATGGGTTGGCTATAGGATCCAACCCTCGGGACTCATCTAAAGCAAAGCAAAAATTGACCGTGGGCTGCTGGACTCTCTAGCTAATGGATTTTTCTTTGGTTAATTGGAACTACTATTTGCCTGATTGTTTTTTTCCCCAGGAACTAAGAGTTGATTTGTTTTTGTTTTGTTTTTTAAATGTATCCCACATGTGATAAAATATTCCATGCATTTAAAAGCATTTTAATAAGGATCATTTCCTGTTTTAATCACTAAAATATATTTTCCAAGTCCGGCGTTTATAATTAGAACGGTTCACCGTAACGTGCAGTTTCACTGTCCCAGAAAAGCAGTTGCAAGACTAAGTTTCTGGCAGAGCACACGCCTGGTTTCCCGTCTCCCAATCCCACCACCGTCCGCCCACTGCCTGTTTCTTTGTGTGGTGTCAGGACTCGGCTTATCACACCTGGGCACGCGTACGTGGTCAAAGACAGCCATGGGCTCCAATTTTCCGGCATGTTCCAAGGAGATGTGGAGTCTAAGCTACTCTACAATAGCTTTCTCTGAACGCTGAAGATAAAACACCCGCAGAGAACCCTTTGAGAAACTCACCTTGATGAGTTCCCCTAATAGCACTGGGTGATTGCTCTCTTCCTGGCTAAGGAGGGCCGCGCCAATGGCTTCACAGTAATGTAAGGCCTGGGACGCAAGGCCGTAATCTGCCAGCCGGGAAGCATAAAGGAGCTTATACACCTGTGAAGAGGAACAGGGCCGGTGAGGAGTCCATCCAGGCAGGCATAGAAGGAGAGGAACGCAGATAAGACTTCCTGGAAGCCAGCTCCCATTAACTCTGCCATCCAAATCTCAAGGAGGGCCTTGTGCCATTTGGGGCATCCTATCTGGGTATGGGCACAATTTCAAATCCAGCCTGCAGATCCCGCATCATGGAGAGAGTGATGGGAGTCACCATCAGTTCAGTCTCCGTAGACCAAGTCCCCATCAAAATACACCAGACTACTTACTTCTTATCAGGAAGCCCAGCCACCTGGAAAGCCTGGTGTAGGTGGCGTGGAGGACCAGGCGCCAGGGGGGACATAGAAAGGAAGAAGAAATGACTCAGACGCAGAGCAGGCGGGTATTCACAGAAGCATGAGGGGTAGAGCAAGATGGAGCATGACAGTTTGGGAATCAGACAGGTCCAAGGTCAAATCCCAGCTCCACACTGGGTGTGCCACCTTGGGCTGGTTATCCCACCCCCCTGTGCCTCAGTTTCCTCACTCTAATATGGGGATAATAATACTATTTACCCTTTGGCTGTTGTAAAGATTAAATTAGATAATCCACGCAAAGGTCTTGGAACAAATGGTACGCAAGAGATGTGAGCCAAGAGCATGTAACTCCTCTGAGCTTCAGTTTCCTGTTTTGGGAAAGGGGGGTAATCATGCACACCTCACGGGATGAGAAGTAATACTCTAAAAACACAAAAGCGCTATGCCCGCACCTAGAGCGTACTCACTAAAACTAGCTAATCCCCTACTCTCAGCCCAGAGGAGACTGAAAGGGGGGGATGACCCAAGAAGGGAGAGAGGGATGAAAGGACTGTTCAAGAGGGAGCTGGTCTGGCATGGCTTTGTCGGGGAAGGAGAGTCTTCAGTAAAAGACCGAAAGAAGATACTAATGGGGTCACTTCCCTTCTCATAACTAATTCACTCATTTTCAAGGTTTGGTTTTGTGCTTTGTGTTGTGGGGTGAGCGTGTGTGTGTGTGTGGCTGGGTGCACTCCGGGGGCAGGCTCTGAAGGAGTCTTGATGAATCCGAGGTGACAACAGGGCATCCAGCTGAGAAATTGAGAGAAGAGAGGAGAACCTGCAGCCTGCACTCCACCTGCACAGCTGAAGCCCCGAGGGGAAGAAGGAAGGGTGAGGACCAGGGACGGAGCCAGGAGGAACTTTCAGAGCTCAAAGACAGAGGGGTCCAAAAGAGAGGGCAGGAGCAGGTCAGACGGAGGGAGCAGGCTGGGCAGCCCCTGGGCTGGGCCTCCTTCTCCCACCCCCGGCAGGATGGCCAAGGGGCAGAGGAGAAGGGAGAGCTGTTTCGCGAGAGCAGAGCAGAAGTTGCTGCAAAGCAGATGTGAGGAGCAGAGACCCCAGGACACTGGTTGATTTCCATTTGTCAGGTGGGAGGCAGGAGCCTCCAGCAGAGGGGGCGCTGCCGTGTTTTGCTTTCATATCTTAAAATGTAGACCTTTAGGAGACCTAGGAAGAAATCCTAACTCTTCCCACACTCAAGCTAATGAAGAAAAGTGCTGTCGATGACTTAGCCCGGCTACTCCATGCCAAATAGTAAAGCTGGAAATCCAGCTGCTGACGGTCGTGCGTTACCTGGAAAGAAGGGATGAAGGATTTGGGGCGGCCCAGCATCTGACAGTACTCGAAGATTTCCGTCCTCTGGATAGCCTCAGTCGTTGCAAATTTCAAAAACTCTTGACTAAAACCAGGGAATAATAATAAAAGAAATTGAGGCATGGTGGGAGGGGAGGGGTTTCAATCCTAGCAGACAAACACCAGCTGCACCCGTTTGTGATAGAGCTTCCGCCCTGGGCTGATCCCTGGGAAGGCTCCCAGGCAGGAAAGACGCTCTGGGCCTCCAGAGTGAATGTTTGGCCTCCTCTCGTTCCACCTTCTTGAGGCTGGAGATGGAACAGAACACGGGCCTGCACCAGAGGTGCTGGGGAGCAAAGACTGCAGAAAAGGGTGGGGTCCTCCACCTTCTTTGCTGGAGGGTCCCCTAAGGCAAGCTGCTCTCCCTCCTGCCTCGGCGGGGCACTGGGTGCTCCTCTTAAACATGCTGAGAGCGAACCTTAGTGCCTGGAAGGCCTAGAACGTGCACCTGTGAGAGGCCACGCTTGGCCTGAACAAAAGAGAAGAGGGAGTGATGTGGGGCCCCAAGAGCACCGAGAAAGGTGGCCAAGAATGGGGAGGACAGCTGAGCCAAAAATCAAATGACAGTCCCTGAGCCAGGTGTCCATTCAGCCAAAGACGAAGTGGGCTGAGCGAAGGTGATCCAAGGGGCTTCCAGACGCCTCCACGTGCCCCAACAGCTTGTGGTATCTGAACTCACGGTCCCTCCCGGCTATCCCCAGAAATGCCCTCATGCGACACAAACATAGGAGAGAGACAAATGAAGCCCTACGCATTTTTTGCCACACTGGGCACAGATGGGATGTGACAAGCCCACTAGACACCATCGGAGACCATGACAGGAGAGAGCCCGCCACAAGACCGCCGTTTCCACAGAGGTAGGCTGCTTGGTGCAACACTGATCAGTCGGGGCTTCGCAGCCTGACAGCCCGGGTTCCAAGTCCAGGGTGACCCCACGCTAGCTGTGCTATCTCAGGTTAGTTACTTAACCTCTCTGTGCCTTGGTTCCCCTCCTCTATCAAGTGAAGGTTAAAAATATACCTTATTTATAGGGTCAATCTGTAATGATTAAAGGAAACAGTGCAAATAAAATGACTGGCACAGTGTAAGGGCTTAGGAAATCTTAACTATTACGGGGAGGGGAGAAGAGAGATCCAGAACACGCAGGACTGCTAGGAAGCAAACGGGTCTTTCTGTCCATTTATTCATTGTCTACAGGATTATGAAGATCCTTCTGCGTGAAAAGCCTGATGTTACAGCCAACAAAGAATAAGTAACAGGTGGGACTTTGAGTAGCTTGTGCACCAAGTCGGTGAAGGGGTGTAAAGAGAAAGCATAAACGTCTTCCGATCTCCACTTCCGCGCAGGGCGGACTCTGGGCCCGCCCAGGGTTGCCTAACGCGGAGCCACAAGCCGCGCGGAGAGCACTAACGAGTCACAAGAGGTGACCTCTGCTCATGGAGCCAGGGTGCCACCCAGTGGTCAGAGGGGCACAATACACCCCAAAGGCACACAAGCCAGTTTGGGGGAGCAGGACTGGGGCCTGAGGCCCCCTGGTGGTGGGATGCTGCACCCACCGGGCACCTGCCTGCCCGGCTCCGGGCAGGAAAGACCCCGAGGAAGGGAGCAGCAGCAGCTGAAATTCACAGGGGAAAATGGAAAAGGGAGCCGAGAAACCCAGCCCGGGCTAAAACAATGCCCCAGAAAACGTCCTTCCCGCTCCCTTCCCGCTCCCTTCCCCAGAGGACCACGCACCTGTGGTTGCTGCCAAGCAAGGCCATATGGTCTGTCTTCACGGTGTAGTGGCCGAAGGGCACGTGGGCCACGAGGTAGCAGAAGTGGGCGGCCTCCACCAGCCCCTTCCCCGCTGCCGGAGGAGGAGAGCAAGCCCCAGTCACAGAGCATGCCGTGTGGGGAGGGGACCCACTTTCTGGGCGGGATGGGAGAGGGCCGGCAGGGGTGCTCGGGGGTCAGACGGGAGAGTCCTCAAGGGGGCGCAGGGGAGAACGGCTCTCATCAGGAGTCACATGCACCAAACCGCACACCCCCTCCCACCCGCGTTCTTGGCCTCAGTTGGACACGCCAATGTTCTTCGGTCAGAATAGGTCACTAATTCCTGTTCCCCTCCTGTATTTGTCATTAGGAATTTGCTAAGCATTTTAGTCCTTCCTGAGGGTGAAAAGGAAGCAGATGCATACACCTGAGCAAAGATGGGGGCCATGGGGAGTAGCCGTTTTTAAATTAGGCTTCTTGGGGCACTAATGTTTCTCTTGCCGAAGTCAAACAATAGGAAACTTTCCCCAGGGCTCATAAAATTCAAAATAATCACCACCTTGTTCCCATTTCCAGAATGTTCTCCCATACATTTCCCATTACCTCAAAACTGAATTAATTCAAGTAGGTAAAGTACCCAGCACAGTGTCTGGCACCCAGGAAGGACTAAACAAATCCTACTTCCCCTTCTGCCCGAGTGTGAGCAGCCTGCTAGCTGACTTGGCAAACCCTACACACAGCTATTTTCAGTTTAACAGAGCACTATACCACAACGTTTACAAAGACTATCATGATTTCTAGATGTTCTGCCCCTTAACCAAATCTGAGAACCACTGATCTGGAACATCCAATAGCCCCTAAGTGTTTATAAGACCACGTTCACGAGAGAGAATACAAGTACAGATTAGACAATTACCCAGGGTAGTTCGGGCAAAGACAGAGCTTGCTATCTGGCCGAGCTGGGTCACTGTACGACTAACCATAACAGGAGCCGAGGTCCCCCAGTGTTAACTCCGTCTTCAGGGGAATCTGACCAGGGATAGAAAGCCAACTGTTGCTTCTTTTAGCCGCACAGCCCAAATCTCGGGGGTCTGGGCTGCATTGGCTTGCAGCAGAAATTCTGGGAAATGGAGGCAAGAATGACCCTCCCTTCCCTGGAGTTTCTGTCCCCCAAACACGGAGGCTCCCATGGGTCAAAGGAGAGCCTGAGGCGCAGACTTGGGCCCAGCACAGCACTTAAGAGCCTACAGACAGATGTTTGTCTGTCTCCCTACAGAAGAGGGTAGCAGGGCTGGCTTCTGCTTACCCAGGGTGTCCCCCATGGTGATAATCGCTCGCTGAAGCAGCTCCGGGTCCCCACCCTGATTCGACAGAATCACAGCCAAGTGAGGCCTCCAGTCTCCCCACTGCTTGTCCGCACAGCACTGAAAGGCAGCAGACAAAACGGGAGATTTACTGACTAACGTAGGGCTAGCCAGAGTGTAGGAGAAGAAAGTTGTCCATCTCCTAGTTCGGAGTTCAGGGAATGTGTGCTTACACCTTCCTGCGGTGCTGTCCTTCGTTGATTTCGAGATCTCCTTTTAAAAAGCAAGACTCCTAGAAGGATGGGTAGCAGACAGACACGTGCACCTACATACATTCAGAGGAGTATCGGGAGGTAGGTAAATAAAATGACACTATGGATCACTTCCTGATTTTCCAATTTCTTCCTGCTGCTCCTGATCCCAACAGCGAGGGACAACATCCAGAAAAACAAAACAGAACAAACCCTGATGTTTCAGTGGGAGAAGGAGGACCAAACATCCTTGACTCATATGAAGAATCTACATTAGCCAGTTAGAAGTCAGGGGAACCCTAGACCCTTAATACCTTACCGCATGGCTTGTGTTTTCTGGTTTTACAAAGGCCTTTCACACTCATCACCTTAGTTAACTTTCACAACAACCCTAGAAGTCGAATTCCTGTCGCCACTCGAAGGACAAAGAAAGCAGGCCACGTGGCCCAGCCCAGCACCCAGTCCCCATTCATCTTGCTCTCAGCTGAGGGCTGCACCCACTCCCTCTGGCAACCGTGCAGGAGCAGCAGAGCTCCACAAGGGGGCAGTAGGGTGCACATAGAGCTGGGGAAGTGGGAAAATACCCCACACAAAGAATGGGGTTTGGGTCTCCCTTCTCCTGAATGAAGGGGGATTTCAGGACAGGAAATCTCAATAAAGAAACAGTATGACATCACAGAAACAACTCGGGCCCTGGATTCAACTACCTCTTTTTTTTTTTTTTTTAAGATTTATTTATTTTAGAGAGAGCATGAGAGTGTGGGGGTGGGGTGGGAGGGGCGCAGAGGAAGAGGAAGAATTCCAAGCAGACTCCCTGCTGAATGCAGAGCCCCACACAGAGCTCTATCTCACCACCCTGAGATCATAATCTGAGCCGAAATCAAGAGTTGGCTGCTCAACCGCCTGAGCCACATAGGCGCCCCTGGAGTCCTGCTTCTTACTAGCTTTGTGACCTTGAGCAAGTTTCTCAAAACCTTTTTTTCCCTCATCTCTTAAATAGAGATCATCATTTCTACCTAACAGGGTTAGTGTTGATAATAAAATAAGATAGGCAGTAAAGCACATTGCATAGTGCTTTGCACTTAGTTTGCTCTTTATAATTGACACGTAGGTGCAAACACACACACACGGAGAGAGAAGCCCAGCAAAAGGAAAGGTGATTTGCAGACCGGTCCATCTCCCAGTTTGTTACACAATATGGTAGAGAGAAGGAAGGAGGGAGGGAAGAAGGAAGGAAGGAGGGAAGGAAGGAAATGGACGTCCTTCCTGCTCCCTTCCCCAGGAGGGAAGGAAGGAAAGAAGGAGGGAAGGAAGGAAATGGACGGTAGTAATAGCTAAGATTTGGAGGTCAGAACAATTCATAATTATTTGGTCTTTGTAATTATCCCAAGGAACAAAAGATACTTTATCCAACTGCATTTGATGGTTGCTCTTTGTTTATCTGGGTGATGCAGTGTGAATGAGGGGGATGATGATAATAAATCACAAGAATAGCAGTTCTCACTCACTGTGCTCTGCCCGTGAACCATACCCAGTGCCAAGCATTTCTCCTGTGAACAATCACATGCATTGGGTACTATTATTATCCCCATTTCGGCCAGGCCCTTTCTTGCTGGAACTAAAGGAACGAGCAAAGAAAAATCCTTACTGAAAAGAACAGACACTTAGAAGTCATTCTTCTGTCTCTTCCCTAGGTGATTTGAAAAAACCCACTGTAAAGCCGATCTATGGAGAGAAAGATCACGAAAGAGAGAGCGAACACCTAACTAACTTCAATGGGTCAAGCATGGTGGTTGATATGTGTTCAGATATTCTCTCTCCTGTAATTTGCACAATAACTCTATTGGTGAGGCATCAAAATGCCCACAAAGAGGAAAGCCTGACATTCTGAGATTAAGTAAGAAGGCCAAGTTCACAGAACAGGAAGGAGCAGACTCTGGTTACACCTATGATGGAAGCCCACAGCTGGGTTTTCTGGTTGCCATGCTTTTTCCACTCATTCCAAGTAACTAAAGACTAGCCTCTTACTGGATGCCATGATGCGAAGCAACGCTCAAACACTAAGATCAAATACTGTGTGTTGGCACATCACCTCTGGCTTCTCAGTTTTCTCACCTAACAGCAGGGAGCATTTAGCATTTGCTGGGAGACCCAGTGGACCGTATGTTGATTACATCATTTCCTGCTTCATGACATGATGCAATTTCACGGCCGTGCACAGCCATTCAGCGGATTCGTGAGCACTCTGTGTTCCCATATAGCCAGTGGGCTTGACCATGGTCAGGAAAGTCATCATTTCTCTTCTCTTTTCTAGGAATTGTCCAGAAGCAATAAGAAGAATAAAAAAGCAAAAGTGTGAAGTCCATTTTCATTAAAACTAGGTGTCAGCAAAAACCCAAAATTTGAAATGCAAGAAAAAGCTGCCAAAAATAGTAGAGATTGAACAAAGGTGAGTTCAGGAGGAAGCAGAAAGATAACTCCAGAAGGAGAGGATCCCACAGCCGTCTCCACTGGCTGGGGAGAAGCCAAGGCTACACAGATACCCACTGAACCCTCCAGATCATGTGGGAAATGCCAGTCAGCCTGCACTGTGGCCCTGGCCCCTCCCCAGCACAGACCTACTCCAAGCAGTTGGCCCAGGGAAGACTCACTCCTGTCAAGGATCAAACACAGAATCTGTACAAATTCACTATAAAGATAAAAGGAGGGAAGTAACATGAAAAAATAAATGGAAGGTAGAAAAAAACGCTCACTGGAAAAATGTTAACCACGAAACAAATAAAGAAGTATCAGCAGGGGTGCCTGGGTGGCTCAGTCATTAAGCGTCTGCTTTCAGCTCGGGTCATGATCCCAGGGTCCTGGGATCGAGCCCCGCTTCGGGCTCCCTGCTCAGCGCGAAGCCTGCTTCTCCCTCTCCCACTCCCCCTGCTTGTGTTCCCTCTCTCGCTCTCTCGCTGTCTGTCAAATAAATAAAATCTTTAAAAAAAAAAAAAGTATCAGCAAACATTTCATCATGAATTTAAGTAAAGTAATGAAACAATTTCTTATGAAGCAAGGGCCTAAAGCTAAGTTACAAGAGCTCAAGAAAGAGACAGCGGACAAGAGGAAGAGGTAAATGTGACCTGCAGAGCTCAGGGAAGAAGTGGAAAAAATCAAAGAAATCAAGACAAAAATGGCAAGAGCACAACAATGAAGAGACACTGACGAAAACACAGTAAGGGACACACAGGATGGAAATGAGAGAAGAAGAAGAAAAAGAGGAGGAGGAGAGGAAGAAGGAGGAGGAGGAGAAGAAGAGGAAGAAGGGGAGGAGGAGGAGAAGAAGGAGAAGAAGAAGGGGGGGAAGAGGATGAAGAGAGAGAGAAGGAGGGAAGGAGGGAGGAAGGAAGGAAGGAAACAAAAAGTGTTTTGTTTTGTTTTTTAAGATTTCATTTATTTATTTGACAGAGAGAGACACAATGAGAGAGGGAACACAAGCAGGAGGAGAGGGAGAGGGAGAACCACGTTCCCCGAGGAGTAGGGAGCCCGATGTGGGGCTTGATCCCAGGACCCTGGGATCATGACCTGGGTCGAAGGCAGACACTTAACGACTGAGCCACCCAGGCGCCCCCCAAAAAATGTTTTAATTAAAGAGAAAATGATATACATATAATCTGCCTGTGTATATGTATATATTCATATATATACGAAACTGCATACATGGAATTCCTGAAAGAAAACCAAAATAATGGAACAAAACAAATATTGAAGGATATAATTCAAGAAAACTTTCCTGAACTGTAAAATATGAACGCAGATATTAAAAGAGCATGCTGTGTACCAAGAAAAAAAACTGACCCGGATAGTCAACACTAAGATAGATCCCAGTAAGGTTACCGACTTCAAGGATAAAGAAGGGTACTTTGGGGCAAAAAGATCAAGTCTGTTTTCATGGGAAAAACATTAGGCTGGCCTCAGACTTCTCCTGAGCTATATCCAACTCCAGACAACGTGTAAGATTGAATATGTCCAGCTTGGCAGGCTCCGTGTGCAGCGGTGGGAAAGAAGGGCAGCCTCACTGTGGGAAGCCTGGGAACAGCGCGCTCTCTCACTATCCATGCACACCATGCAGGCAGCTGTGCGACCGTGGAAAGGGCAAGGTCTTTGGATCAGATAGACCTGAGCCAATCCTGGCTCCACTTCTCCAAGCTCTGTGATCTCAGGTCATTTTAACCCTTGCACCTCAGTTTCCACATCTGCAAAACGGGGACAATAATTCCTACCTCTGTGCATTAAATGAAATAATATGAAGCCAAGTGCTCAGCACAGGGCCAAGTGCACGGTAGGTGCGCTCAGCAGGGAGTCTGCTTGAGATTCTCTCTCTCTCTCTCTCTCCCCCTCTATCCCCTCTCTAAAAATAAAAAGAAAAATCGTTGAAGTCATCACCTCATTCCCGAGCTGTCCCCACCCCCTAAACCCCTAGGATGCTGGGGTATTGAAGGAGTCCCGTCACAAAGAGTACCGTGGCTGCTTGTGGGATCCTCCCCGACATGAACTGGAAGAGGGTCTGCAGTGGGTCGTTGGCGGCTAGCGTGCTGGTGAAGCTGCAGAGAGAGGTGACCATTAGTGGTGACCAAGCCAAGAGGGCCTTTTACCCATTGCCAGTGGCGCAAGAGCTCCCGTATATTTCTATTTGATTTCAGCACCTACTTTTGGGATACAAATTTCTCTTTGCCTCTCAGTTGTGCCTCTGCTACCTCCCACTTTTGGGGGGCTTGGCAGGATCTTCCTTCCACCCCCCCCCGAGAGCTCACTATTGGGGGTATTTCCTGTACTTTGGCACTGACGCCCTAACTCTTGAGTCACCATTGCTCTAGGCTTTCTTTGTCATGGAAATGATGCCCCAAATTTCACAGGTCCCCGGAGAGCCCCAGCAGTTAACCCAAACTTCCTCTCCGTGGGCCCCTCCTCCCAGTTGTCCCCCTCAGCTCCTCCTCCCCTGAAGCAGCCCCCCGCATGCACCGCCCAGGGCGCTCAGGCTGGCTTCTCTGGCTCACAACTAGACTGGCTCGGCAGTGCTTTTCTGCACAAGCACGAAATAGCCGTGTCCAGTAACCAAAGAGGCGTAGAACAGGGACCAGAAATGATCCCGCCGATGACAAACCGTGGGATATGCTTAACAAGGATATAATAAGCTCCATAGCTGATTTGAGATTTAAGCACACTCAGTAAGAGCTATTCTTCACAACTCACTGGGCCCCATCAAAAATCAATGGCCCAAGGCAAAAATCTGTAGCAGAGATGTATGCTCTAACGTGGGGTTGTAGGATGTTCATTTCCAAAACCCAAAGGAGAATCATCCCTCAGAATATGGTCTTTTACTTAATAGCACCCTTGCCTTGGGAGCTCGGAGCACTTATCATAATAAAACTCCAGTGCTCCTCACCACCCTGAGCATAATGAAGTGCTCAGAGGCATTCCTAGTCCCTGGGAAGACTGAGGGTTAGGGTAGAAAAGAGAATCCACGGATGGAGAAGGGTAACATGACAGCCTTGAAGGCAAGTGTGATCTTCCCAGCCAACTGCCCATTTATGGCCAATTTAAACTTGAGTTCAGCTGAGAGGTTCACAGCTTCACAGCTTCCACCAACACAAGAAGATGAACATTTTAAGGGAACATCCTTTTTCCCTGTCAGATCCAAGCCTGCCCCTTAGAGTCCTCTCCACCCCACCATATGTCTGTCCCTGCCCTCCCATGGATCTGAGCTTGCTCAGAAACCCTTCCTTCTCCAGCACCCGACACCCAGCTCTTCCACCTACTCCCCCTTATTCCAAACTCCTGGCCATGTAGTCAACCTCCCATCCTGTCTCGTCCTGGTTTGGGCATTCTTCCTGGTCTCGATGTGCCGGCATGATCTCCGACTAAACACATCCCTTGGGGGGCGCCTGGGTGGCTCAGTTGGTTAAGCGACTGCCTTCAGCTCAGGTCATGATCCTGGAGTCCCTGGATTGAGTCCCGCATCGGGCTCCCTGCTCGGCAGGGAGTCTGCTTCTCCCTCTGACCCTCCCCCCTCTCATGTGCTTGCTCTCTCTCATTCTCTCTCTCTCTCTCTCGAATAAATAAATAAAATCTTTAAAAAAAAAAAAAAATCCCTTGGGTCTTGTCATGTCCCCCTGCCCTAGATGAAGACTGCCGCATCCAATCCCCAGTCCTATAAAGCCTGTTCCTACTGCTCGCCCATATCCTGACCTTCCTCTCAGCACCCACATTCCCCACTGCAAGACTAAGTGATAGACAACTCCTAACTCTCGGGTCTAAGCTCCTGCCAGTTAGCCATAAGAGTCACCTATTCCCTCACTGGTGGAACTATCTAGAATAGCCCCTCCCAAAGAGAACTACTAGATTGTAGAAACCTATGTAACTTTTGGAACACACCCTGAGAAATATTACTAAAATGTTTATTTATCAATCAGGTAGAAAGAATGTGTCCAGGTCTAGGTTATAAGAACCTAGAGAAGTGATATCCTACGTCCGGGTCAGAAAAGAGAAATTGGAAGGATGCTTGGTGTGTGGGGCTTCCCAGCGCATCTTGCATTTCTCCCCACCACCCCTCCCTTGGTTGGGGGGAGGCCTCTCTGCTCCATTGGTCTCCTTTGCCAGCGCCCAGCTCACTCACCCACTCATAACCCAGCTGTAGGTCCTTGGGTCCATCTTGCTGGAGAGGAACAAAGCGTGACCCCACAGGTGGTTCTTCATGGCCCACTCCAAGGCTTCCTGAAAACAAAAACACATCGCATTCAGCATGGCCCTCCTCATCATCCTCTGCTGACAACACGTGACGGTGTTTGGGTACCGCCGCCCCCGAGCCATGCCCGCTGGGCTCCCAGGAAGACTCGGAGCCCCAACCGTGAGTGTGCCAGAGCAACAGTGGGGAAGGGGGCTCTAACTGGCACGCTGTCCCTTCTCCAGCCTTCCCTCGAGAACAGAAGTGATGTGTGCCTCTTCCACGTCTGGCTCCTGGAAGCCCCTTGCCCAGTCCCGCATGCCATTTTCCCCATCGGGCTGGCTGGACAGAAGATGCTCAGATGGTACAGCTTCCTCCACGTGGAGTCCTTGAACTACTCCGTGGAGGAGGGCTGCCCCGCCGTTCTGTTCACCTGCCCAGGGCTCCCATGTGAATAGAAAGAAGTGTTTAAGCCAGTGTGCATAGCAGTTAACCTGCCCCACCTAATATTATAACTAATTGCTTGTTAACAACCAAGTGTTTGTTAGCTATCAACTTCATATGCCAAATGAATGACACCGCTAACTTGGTGAGATCAGTAAGAAGCTGTAAATTTTAACACACACAAAGACACACTCACACTCATCTTTTCATTCAATTTTCAGAATTATTTAGTAAGAGCTTAATTTATATTTGAGGTTTTGACCTGGTGTTAATAATTTCCTTAGTACTCAAAAATAATGTGATTTTTGGACAGGAAGTCACTAATGAGGTAACTTGAACTCCAGGTGCAAATTTCTTTGATCATCCCAACATCTCCCACACTATCTTATTTGAAGAGAGAGAACAAATTTAAACCACTACCATTAGGAAATTCAGCCTCACATCCGCTACAAGGAAAAATGACATTGAGTTACTCTTTTCATGTTAAACTATTTCACAACAGTATTTTTTTAAGGGAATTACTAATAATTGGTTGGGTATCACCACTTTGCTCACAAATTTGCATCTCCAAAAATATAATTTAAGAGTAAGTGGAGAAACTGGGAAATTACCTTGAGGATATTAATCTCACACAGTGGCAGAGATGAGACGCCAGTCAAATATTAATAAAGATATGAAAGATATTTTGGTCTCCAGCCCCTCATGAGCCATTCTGAACTCCCAGAGTACTTTTCCTATTCCTGGCTCACCTTTGGGCCCAGGTATGACAGGTAGTGTGGCGGATGGTTAGAAGCCCAAGCTCAGACATCAGGCTGCCTAGATTTGAATGCTGGCTTTATTACTCAGTAATTTTCCTCATTTGTAAGTACATAAAACAAGAATAGAACCTAATCTAACAGGGGTTTCTATGAAGATAAATGAGACAATGCATGGAACATGTTAAGTAAGTGCCTGGTACAGAGAAAATTTTTTTAAATATTTGCTTTTGTTACTGTTATTGTTATGGTCATTACTTAATCTTTCTTAAGGAAAGAGATTATTATTGATTTATCTCTGTATCCCCCACGGGGTTCAATGCCTTAGAAGTAGTGGCTGCTTGGGGCACCTGGGTGGCTCAGTCATTAAGCGTTTGCCTTCGGCTCAGGTCATGATCCCAGGGTCCTGGGATCGAGCCCTGCATCGGACTCCCTGCTCCGCAGGAAGCCTGCTTCTCCCTCTCCCACTCCCCCTGCTTGTGTTCCCTCTCTTGCTGTGTCTCTGTCAAATAAATAAATAATATCTTTTAAAAAAAAAAAGTAGTGGCTGCTTAATAAATGTTTACTGAATAAATAAATCACTGGTGAAATTGCAGGTCCCTACTATATAGTGAACAGGGGATGGCTAGCATATGATCCCACTGATTTTCACTGAGTATCATGCCTTGCATTCATTTTAAAATATAACATCACTGGGGCGCCTGGGTGGTTCAGTTGGTTAAGCGCCTGACTTCAACTCAAGTCATGATCTCAAGGTCCTAGGATCAAGCCCCACATCTGGCTCTTCGCTCAGCAGGGAGTCTGCTTGTCCATCTCCCTCCTCCTCTGCCCCCTTCCCCACTTGTGCTCCTCTCTCTCTCAAATAAATAAATAAAATCTTTTAAAGATAAACAAAATATAACATCATATACAAGTAAACAGAGATTAAAAATTCAAATGTAAAGGTGAAGTCACAAAAGTACTTGAACTTTATTTTCATAACTTAATTTTAAAGTAGGAAAGCTTTTTTTAAGATTTTGTTTATTTATTTGAAAGAGAGAGAGAGCACATGAGAGGGGGGAGGGGCAGAGGGAGAAGCAGACTCCCTGCTGAGCAGAGAGCCCGATGCGGGATTCGATCCCGGGACTCCAGGATCATGACCTGAGCTGAAGGCAGTCGCCTAACCAACTGAGCCACCCAGGTGCCCCTAGGAAAGCCTTTCTAAATATCACCCCAAAAAAGTAATTTTGTACAGAAAGTCCTAAAAAAGGAAAGAGCTCCTACAAATCAATAAATGGAGATCAAAAATCAGACAGAAAAAACGTAGAAAATCCATCACAAAAAAATTCACAGATTGAAAGATATTAGACTTCACTTATAATAGGGGAAATGAAAATAACTACACTAAATTATATATACATTTTTTTACCTCTCAGATTGGCACATATTAAAAGCTTGGAAACACACCGAGTTGGTGAGAGTGGGAAAACGGGTACTCTCATGTATTGCTGGTAAAGTAATCGGTGAAACCTCTAAAAAGGCAACTTGTCACTTCCTCAAAATTTCAAGCTATATACCCTTGGACTCAACACTTCTATTTCCAGGAACTATTCTAGAAATCATATGTATATTCTCCCACATGGCAAAATGACTTTCGTTGTCATTGCAGTGTTATTTGTAATAGCAAAAGACTGTTAAATCATCTACATGTCAATCTATCAGGGTTTAGTTAAATTAATTATAATTTATCTTTAGAAATCTGTGCAGCCATAGAAAATAATGAAGAAGGTATTTATATGTTAAAAGGAGCAGGAATCAGGAAAATGTGGCCTGAAGGCCAAATTCAGCCTACGGTCTATTTTTGGTACAGCCCACAAACGAAGGATAACTTTTCACATTTTTAAATGACTGGAGAAAAAAATCAAAAAAAGAATAATACTTCATTACATGTGAAAATTATATATAATTCCAATTTCTATGTCCATAAATAAAACACAGCCACACCCATTCATTTATATATTGTCTGTGGCAGCTTTTACTTGACAATAGCAGAACTGAGCAGTTGCAAATGGCCTGCAAAACCTGCATTTAGTGTCTGGGACGCCTCGCTGGCTCAGTTTGAAGAGCATCTGACTCTTGATTTCGGGGTCAGGAGTTCGAGCCCCACATTGGGTGTAGAGATTACTTAAATCAATAACATTTTATGTATGTGTGTGTATATATATATATATTTATTGTCTGTCCTTTTACAGAAAACAATCCCAATATAGAGTGTTTTCTAAGGTATTTTGTTAAATGAAAAAAAGTGGGGATGCCTGGGTGGCTCAGTCAGTTGAGCGTCTGCCTTCGGCTCAGGTCATGATCCCAGCGTCCTGGGATCGAGTCCCGCATCGGGCTCCCTGCTCTGCAGGGACCCTGCTTCTCCCTCTGCCTCTGCCTCTCTCTCTCTCTCTGTCTCTCATGAATAAATAAATAAAATCTTTAAAAAAAGTGAAGAAATGGTAGATAGAGGGTGCCTGGCTGTAGAGCTTTAGACTCGTGATCTTGGGGTTGTGAGTTCGAGCCCCATGTTGGGTGTAGAGATTACTTAAAACCTTAAAAAAAAAAAGAAAAGAAATGGTATATAGTAAGCTGTTAAAAATGGAGAAAATAATTATGCAGAAAATATCTCTGGATATTTCAGAGATAACAATTCAGTGGCCGAGAGGATGGGGGCATCATTTTCCCCACTATATCCCGTTTAGCTTTTGAGTTTTGAATCATATTGATTCAAATTGATTTCCGTCATATATTCAAATATTTACGTTTCCTTTAAGACTTTTGTAAAATGTGAGGGATGCCTTGGTGGCTCAGTTGGCTAAGTGTCTGCCTTTGGCTCAGGTCATGATCCCAGGGTCCTGGGATCGAGTCCCGCATCGGAATCCCTACTCAGTGGGGAGCCTGGTTCTCCCTCTGCCTGCCTCTTCACCTGTTCGTGCTCTCTCTCTCTTTCTTTTTCTGACAAATAAATAAATAAATAAATCTTTATTTGTGTGAGTTCAACTTCAAAATTAAACAAGGCATAAAAAAATAGGTAAGTATGTGAGGTGATGAATGTTATTAATTAACTCCATGGGGAGGATCCTTTCACAATGTATTTGTAATATTTGTATATCAAATCATCATGTTGTACATGTTAAATATCCTATAATTTTGTCAAATACCTCAATTAAAATTTTTTTGAATAAATAATATAAAGATTAAAATTGTCTAATTTACATATCAAACAATAAACAAGACATCACTTCATCTGTTAAAGTATCCAATATTGGTAGGCAAACGTTAGATATAGCTGGTGGGGACATCATCTGTAAACAAATTTTCTGGAAACTAATTTAGTGTATATGTGAAGAACCTTTTTGTTGTTGTTGTTTTGTTTTTCTTGTTTTCTCTTTGTTTTTATCTTTTTTATTATTATTATGTTATGTTAATCACCATACATTACATCATTAGTTTTTGATTCATTGTTTGTGCACAACACCCAGTGCTCCATGCAGAACGTGCCCTCTTTAATACCCATCACCAGGCTAACCCATCCCCCCCACCCCCCTCCCCTCTAGAACCCTCAGTTTGTTTTTCAGAGTCCATCGTCTCTCATGGTTCTTCTCCCCCTCTGATTTCCCCCCTTCATTCTTCCCCTCCTGCTATATCTTCTTTTTTTTTTTCTTAACATATAATGTATTATTTGTTTCAGAGGTACAGATCTGTGATTCAACACTCTTACACAATTCACAGCACTCACCATAGCCCATACCCCCCCCCCCAGTGTCTATCACCCAGCCATCCCATCTCTCCCACTTTCCACCACTCCAGCAACCCTCAGCTGGTTTCCTGAGATTAAGAATTCCTCATATCAGTGAGGTCATATGATACATGTCTTTCTCTGTGGAGCCCGATGCGGGGCTTGATACAGGGCTCAATCCAGGATGCTGAGATCATGACCTGAGCTGAAGTCAGATGCCTAACCGACTGAGCCACCCAGGCGGCCCAAAAGATGTTATCTTTTAATGATAAGACTATATAATTTTTTTCTTTGTACCTTACTGAACGTCTTAAGTGCCAAAAAATGAATATATATTACTCATATAATTGGGGGTGGGGGTGTGGTTATTTTTTAAAAACCAGCATGGAGGGGCCACACTTGCCTTCTTCCTTCCGTAGTAGAGCAGTTTAGTGAATTTCTCTACGATCTGTGCAGGTGTCTCCACGCTGGGGGGAATCTCCCCGGTGAGCAGGTTCGGGGTCCCTGAGCTCAGCACCGGCCAGTCCTCATCCGTCAGGTTGATGAGGTTGGCCACCGGCGGCTGTCTCTTGTACTTCTCCAGCTTCTTGCAATCTTGCATCAGTAGTTCCGCGATGTCAGACCCCACCATGGACTACAAGGCAAAGAGGGTCAGCCTGAGGGAGAATCCTATTGTCCTTGTGCTCACAGTACCAGCACCAGAGCACCTGCCTTCTCCATGAGGAGGAGGACATGCAAACACAAGACCTTCCTTTCTTGGATTGTTGTATTTCAAACTTCAGCTTCACTCTCAGGTACTTTCTGCCTATCGGGAGCCACAGAGATTACCAGAACTATGCACACTCTTACAGGTGTATTATGTGGTTGGTACAGTGACCCAAGAACTGTACGATAACCCCAGGCCAGTGGAGAAGGGCAGGGAAAAGATTATGGTTAGCAAATGGGGTTGACACCTGAGCAATTTTTCCCCCTGTGGGCCATTCATTGCTTCTTTAACGTTATCTTTTACAATCATGCCATAAGCCGAATCTTCTCTATCCCAGAAAGACTTCAATTTCAATCCAGCCTGCACCTGCCCACCCACCAGAGCGATAATACTTTACCCCGTTCTGCCGACAAAGGAGAACCAACAATTGCCACAGTAGAGCTGAGTCTCTGCTCCTCTCTGTCTCAGATTTTAGGCTCTGAGCTGCTTTGTGCTGGCAAAATGTCATGATGTTCACCTTGTGTACATCTTCCCTATGGAGAGATTTCAGGGAGCAAAGAATGAGGGGCAGACTCTTTCTCTGCACAGGACCACGGGCTCCTTCTGCATTATGAGGATGCCAGCAGAGGGTGGGGGGACTGAGAGAGAAGCCAGATAACCCAGGGCTGGAGTACTGAGTCTGTAGTTTCCTTGTAGAACAGGAAGGGACCTCAGAGATTCTTCGTATACCCTCTCCATTTTACAGATGAAGAAACTGAGGCCCAGGGACTGCATGGGACAGCAAGCAAGAGCACAGACTTTGGAGTCAGACAACCCTGGGTTTAAATCCAGCCTGCCACTTCTCAGCTTATACAAGGTTCTTATCCTGTCTGAACCTCTGCTTTTTCCCCTAAAATAGGGATAATGAGAAAAAAACTACCTCCATATAAAAGGAATTAGGAAATTTTGTAGCATATACTAAGTAATCAATAAATGGGCAAATATTGTTTGGTCAAGGTCATTCAATAATATCAGTCAAATTGGGACCAGCCCCCTAGCGTCCACACACCTAGCTCGGCAATCTACCCCACATCCGTATACCTGTGTGCAGAAATAGATTCGTTGCTCACCTTTACTTGAAGGAACTGTCAAAATACTATGGGCTTGGGGCACCTGGGTGGCTCAGTCGGTTAAGTGTTTGCCTTCAGCTCAGGTCATGATCCCAGGGTTCTGGGATCAAGTCCTGCCTCGGGAATCCCTGCTCAGTGGGGAGTCTGCTTCTCCCTCTGCCTCTTCCCCCACCCGAACCTGGCTTGTGTTCTCTCTCCTGCTCTCTCACTCTCTCTCTCTCAAATAAACAAATAAATTCTTTTAAAAAAATACTATGGGCTTTTCTTGGTGGCAGAAGCTTCAGGATAAGAATAAGTTTATATGGTAGTGATGATATATACAGGGCTTCCCTACACTTAAAGCAGGCACAGTGGTGTTATCTCATTTCCTAAACAGCAAACTGAAGCTCAGAGAGGACTAACTGACCTGTCCGCCATGGGACCTCTAGTTAGTAGGATGCAGGGACCAAGGACCGGGGTCCTCTGACTCCAGCCAGGACTCTCTCCACAGCAAGAGTGTCCTGAATATTTATCAGAAACAGGACTAGGAATTTAAAAGAAGTTCTAGCTCAATCCTGCAGAGGGCAGACGTGCACACTATCCAGAAACTCAACAGGAACCATGCTATTTCTCTCCAGAAAAAAGGCAAGAATTTTTTTCCCACTCTAAACCACTTGTCTGTGATTTCCCAGGCTGTGCTCCACTTTTCTACCAGTACCTATTAAGTTCTCAGAATGCTAAAACCTCCTACCGTGTAGCTCCTGCAAAATAGAACTGTTTTCGATCTTTAATCTTAATTTTTCTCTCGGCCCTTCAACTATCAAATTGCTTGTCAAAATGGCTCAGGCCACATTTGTCTCTATCTTGTTGCACAGAGTATTCTACTCCACGCGGGATAGACATTTTCTTTCAAGGAAGCCAAACAAATCCCCAAAATGCTGATCTGGGCAGGCAGATTTTGTAGGTTCAAAAACCCTCACTTGGCAGCTCTTAAGATAATTTACCTGATTAGGGGTCCTGAGAAAGTCCTCAGCTCCTCTTGTTCCTCGGAGTAATTAAGAATAACCTGGAACGAAAAATCAGATTTGGCGTTTGAGACTATGTCCACCCAAGGCCCCCGTCAGTCAAGTCCAATATCAGAACCCATGGCTGCCGTCCTGGGATGTGGCTCAGTGCCTTGTGGGGGACACAGGAGGACAAAAGTGAGTTCTCCAGTTGCTGAAAGGGAGCCAACAGCATCTGAGGAGAAACATAAATCTAGCCTCACTTCTTTGAGAGAAGATCCCTACCCTTTCCTTCCCAAGACATGCCCCCATCCATGGAGTGCATGGCCCCCTACCCCCCAAGAGCACCCCATTCCCAGACATGCCCAGGCTCAGGCAGAGGGAAACAGAAAGCAGCCTGCCAGCTTCCTGGGACACAGAATCTCGTTTACCTCCATGCTGTGCAGTTCCACAAGGGCTGTTTGTCCATCCCTGGGAGACCTGGGACCCACACACACCAGCTGGCCTCCTGGCCCAAAACTCACTGGCACATGAGGGATGTAGAACTTCATGGGCTCCTTGGGACCAGCTGCCGAGACATCCCCTGACCAACAGACACAGGGGCACCCTGTTAGCATTCCTGCGACTGCTTGTCTTTACCGCAGAAGGACACCACAGACATGCTTCTATCCAAATCCCACCTGGGCCAAGATAAGTAATTAGAAGAAGCATGTGCTCCAAGTCAGAATTAAGCCTCTCAGAATATGTCAGAGTATAAGGTGGGGATTCGATGGTTTGGTCCAAATGGGAAAGCACCAGGCCCAGACTCCCCCTGATGGCGAGAGGCTGGGGACTCTGACTCTCGTGGCCCCCGTACTCATGACCCGTCTCCTACCTCCAAGCAAAACAATCATGCTATGTTTTGTATGCCTGCCATTGCATTACCAAACTGACTCTGGTCTTCACTTTCTGCACCTGTTACATCAAAGTATCTCCGGTGCCTCCTCTCCCAGCCTGACCCTGATGGCTAGAAGCAGGGTTCCCTTCCAAGAATCAGCTCTGATGCAATCTCCAGGACAAGAGAAAAGGTGAGAAATGGAGCCAGAATGGCGCCTCTGCCCAGGAGACCACCACGCGTGGTTGAGGCAGGCAGTGAGCCACTCTTGGAAGGATGGAGGGAGGGTGACTTTCCCAGAGGTTGCCACCCGGCCCTCTTCTCATCAGACTTCACCCATTCCTTAGGTCACCTCAGTACCCACCGGCCTGAACTGGACTCCAAGCTGCTGGTGCCCTGGGCTCATACATCTCAGACGCATCGCCGATGTACTGGCTGAGCTCGTAGGCGCTGGAGCTGAGACCAGATTCGTGCTGCTGCAGAAGGTTGGACTCGTCGGCCAGTGGTGGCTGGAAGTTACCGGTAATGAAAACACAGGGGAAGACCCAAAAGCGCTTTCAGAGAGATGGTCCTACCCACATGTTCCTTCAAAGCAGCAAAATCAAAACTTTCAAATAAATACATCAAATGTGGATGTGTCGCAAGGAAAAGAAGTGCTCGTTTAATCAACAGGTGTTTGTGAAAAAAATGAACGATGGCCTAGTGGAAAGGGTGTAGGCCCTGAGGCCAGGGGACCTGAATTCAAATCCTAGCTTTGTTGGGCGGGGCACATGGCTGGCTCAGTCGGTAGAGCATGTGACTCTTGATCTTGGGGTTGTGGGTTCGAGCCTCACAGTGGGTGTAGAGATTACTTAAAAATAAAATAAATAAATCTTCAGATCCCAGCTTTTTCAACACCTGCTGTGACCTTAGATGAATGACTTAGGCTGTCTGAGCTCAGCACCCTCATCTGTAATATAATCATATCTGCCCTGTAGAGTTCAAGTACTTCCTCAGTCATTCATTCACCAGCTACTGAATGAGCACCTGCTATGCTCCAGGCTCTGCGCTTTCCCCGGGGATACAGGTGTACAAGAAATTCATGGAACTTACAACCCAGGAGGATAAAAAAAATAGATGCAAAAGCCCTTTGCACACTGTAAAGGGCTGTTCTTGTGTGTGGCTGTTGTTCCTGTCGGCATATATTGCACAGTGTGTGCCCTGCCCTGTTGAGCATTAGGTTTACAGAAGAAAATGTTCTCAAAAGCAAACAGATCTCAGGGCGCCTGGGTGGCTCAGTCAGTTAAGCGTCTGCCTTTGGCTCAGGTCACGATCCCGGGGCTTCTCCCTCTCCCTCTGCCCCTCCCCCTGCTCATGCTCTCTCTCTCTCTTCTCTCTGTCTCAAATAAATAAATAAAATCTTAAAAAAAAAAAGCAGACAGATTGCATCATGGAAACAAAATTAATATAAGACTGTCAAAAATCAAGAGCTTGTCTCTGCAGTATCTTTGCCACTTTCCCATAAATCTAAAATTATTCTAAAATTAAGTTTAGGGGCGCCTGGGTGGCTCAGTCATTAAGCGTCTGCCTTCAGCTCAGGTCATGATCCCTGGGTCCTGGGATCGAGCCCCACATTGGGCTCCCTGCTCAGCGGGAGGCCTGCTTCTCCCTCTCCCACTCCCCCTCCTTGTGTTCCCTCTCTTGCTGTGTCTCTCTCTGTCAAATAAATAAATCTTTAAAAAATAAAATAAAATAAATAAAATTAAAAGTTTATTTTTAAAAATTTAAGAACTCCATTTTGTGGCCCCACTGGTATACCCAGTTCTAAGAGTCCAGACAGGTTGCAAGCTCTGCTTTTCAGAACTGAATTAAAAGATTCTAGCAACACCCCGCTTCCCAGGTAAACCAAATTGCCCATCCCCTGGGGTACTGGCAAGTCTCTCCTCTTGCCCCGCAGCTCGCAGCGACTTGGGTGACATTTCCTGCTCCAGTCAATTTGACAAAAATGCAAAAGGGCCAGATCGGGGCCCCAGACCCATAAGATTGAAACAGGGCGGCAGGAAAAGGTGGAGGTCTGAGGGGAGGCTCTGCAAAGAGGGGAGGATGGGACTCCTCAGACTGCTGGCCGCTGGACAACCCCCTCCCAAAGGCCCCGCCCTGCCACTGATTCAGTGTCGGTTGTGACTGTCACAGCCCACAGCCCCCACATCACTTCAGATTACCTTATTCTTCTGGGTTCCAGGTGGCAGCCTCTCCGGAACTAGGTCCTCAGGCCGCTCCTGTCCAGTGTTAGAAGCAGCGCTGTCTTTATAAGGGTTCTGACTCTTGGATCTGCAGCAAAATGACGGCAGCAGGTAAGGGGGGTCCTGGGTAAGCTAGCAAACCTGAGCTGCTCTCCACGGAGGCCCTTGGGCTGCAAAGTGTGGGCAGCATCAGGCTGTCCTGAGTGCCACAGGGAAAAGGGCTGTCCTCCCTTTGCTCCCCTGATCTATGAATACGAGAAAAACAGGAGCTCGTGGGTTCCACAGTGCAGTTACTAGAAGTCACCCCAAACCCTGTGGAAAGGGGCTGGTCCCTACAGCCAGTCATCCTGGACTGACTTAAATCAGAGCAGCTGGGTTGGCGAGTTGGGCAGACAAGGTAAAGGCACTAGGCCTAAGGTCATCGGGGCAGGTGCTTGTGCAAAAGGCTCTTTTCTGCCCACCTTACCCCAGGGCACATCCCATTCTCGGGGCACAGGAGTGGGCAGAGGAGAAATGCCCCAGCTTCGGCCAGGACCCAATTCCGACAACTTCTGCAAGGGCACCTCTGCTCTGAGGCCAACATAGAATTAAGGCCCTCCTGTGGGGTGGACCTCAAGTAACCTCACCAGGACTCAGATGACCCCACGTTTGGGAGCCGCCTGTCAAAGTTAAGACTCCACTGAAAGCTGGCCTGGGTCACCCTGGGCTACTCCACATCCCTATGGCCAGAACAGAAGCAGACAGGGTTCTGAAGATAGAGACAAGCACCAGACGCCATAAGACTTGCCTCACATAGCCTGAGTTTGGCCGCACCATGTTGAGCTGGCCTCCCCTTTCACACTTACAGAGGACTCTGGTTGTCGTGATGCCACTCACTGCGGTACTTCTGATCTCGGTGATCTTCCTGCCAGATATAGGGACTCTCTCCCCTTGGCACTGCACCCTCAGAGAAAACAAAAATGAAGGCAGGTCACTTCCTACTCCTAAAAGATCAGGCCTCCCAGCCTCGAGCTGTGAAGCTGAGTTACTGGAGCACCATAGGTATGAAAACGTATTTGCCAAATTGGATACGCTAGAGAAGTGAGAGCTAATGATGGAGGCCAACAAGACACCTCTCAGTCCTCCCTGAACCAATGAGCATGGCTCAATACAATTGTATAAGCATGGAGATCGTGTGTGTGTGTGTGTGTGTGTGTGTGTTCAGTGTTGAAACAGATTTCCCTTGGCTGGCAGGTCAGAAGCTGCCAACAGCACATCCCTAGAACCTTAGTATCAGTAATGGGTATAAATTCCTGTTGGTGCATATCTGCCACCCTCAAGGTCGATGATGGTCAGACTCATCACAGCCCAGCCACACTGGACAACCGCATTGCTAAGAACTGATTTCACTAGTTAAAAATAGAGCTACCCTATGACCCAGCAATTGCATTACCGGGTATTTACCCCAAAGATACAGATGTAGTGAAACGAAGGGGCACCTGCACCCCAGTGTTCATAGCAGCAATGTCCACAATAGCCAAACTGTGGAAGGAGCCAAGATGTCCATTGACAGATGAATGGATTATGAAGATGTGGTTCATATATACAATGAAATATTACTCAGCCAACAGAAAGGATGAATACCTACCGTTTACATCGACATGGATGGAACTGGAAGGGGTTATGTTAAGCAAAGTAAGTCAATCAGAGAAAGAAAATTATCATATGGTTTCACTTATATGTGGAATATAAGAAATAGTGCAGAGAATGAAAGGGGAAGTGAAGGAAAACTGAATGGGAAGAAATCAGAGAGGGAGACAAACCATGAGAGACTCTTGACTCTGGGAAACAAACTGAGGGTTTCGGAGGGGAGGTAGGTAGGGGGATGGGGTAACTGGGTGATGGGCATTAAGGATGGCACGTGATGTGAGAAGCACTGGGTGTTATATGCAACTGATGAATTATTGAACACTACATCTAAAACTAATGATGTACTCTATGTTGGCTAATTGAATTTAAATTTAAAAAGAAGAAATGACTTCACTGTTACTTGGTCAGAGACTATAATCTTGGCTATAGGAGGAGCAGAAGAAAAAATGGGGTTGAAGTGTGAACTATCCATAATCCTGGTAACGTAATGGTAGGTTCAGTACTATCACCGACACGTACAAGAAAAATGGCTCCTTTCAGTCTCTTCTCAAGACATCTAGCAGTAGTGTCTTTGCTGTGACCTGTTGTGGCCTCATCTGGCCAAGAAAGAAGCAGATGAGGACAGGGGCTCTACCTCAGCGGAGCGGGATAGCCAAGGTGAGGCTCTGAGCAGGCCCTGCCTACCAGATCAGCTGTACCATCCCAAAGGCTCCGTGGAGATTATTCCATACCTCTTTCTTCCTGCAGCTGCTGCGGGTGTCCATGGTAGTAATAATTTCCATAAGCATATTCTTCCCTTAGGGTTGAAGAATGATAGCTCCGATACAGATCCTCCATGCCTGGCCTAAAATACCGCAAAGAAGGCCAGCCAGTCAAGGATGAGATGGTAAAGAGAAACCAGTGGAGGACTGGACAACTTCACAGGACAAAACTGTGACCTCAGTCTAGAACCCGCTTTAAAACCACAGTTAATTCTAGATCCTATAAACAGAAGATGCAGAATCAGAGCAGAAGTAGGGCCTTTGTTTCAGAACAAGGTTGGGATTTTTATAGCAAAACCATAGCCAAGTGTCTCACTCTCCTTCCCCGTGATTCCTCCTACTCTTCAAATACATCCAACAATACACGATGTTATCTTAGAAAACCCTGCCCTGATTTTTTAAAAGATTTTATTTATTTATTTATTTATTTATTTATTTATTTATTTGAGAGAGAGAGAGAGAGCAAAAGAGTGAGCAGGGGGAGGAGCAGAGGGAGATGGAGAAGCAGACTCTGTGCTGATCACGGAGCCCGATGCAGGGCTTGATCTCACAACTCCAAGACCACGCCCTGAGCCGAAATCAGGAGTAGGATGCTCAACTGACTGAGCTGAGCCATCCAGGCGCCCCTACCCTGCCCTGATGTTATCTTAGAATGCCCCTTCCTCAGATGACTGTGTAGGTACCCGATACACCACTGTAATTCCCACGCATATTACATACAGATGGAAACGAGATGAAGAAGTCACATTGGACTCTCTTAAATCTGATTGCCTTTATTGCCTCTGCCCTTAACATACTTTCCTTTGAGAATTCAATACAAAAAGATTGGGGAGGGGCGCGTGGGTGGCTCAGTCGTTAAGCGTCTGCCTTCGGCTCAGGTCATGGTCCCAGGGTCCTGGGATCGAGCCCCGCATCGGGCTCCCTGCTCAGTGGGAAGCCTGCTTCTCCCTCTCCCACTCCCCCTGCTTGTATTCCCTCTCTCGCTGTGTCTCTCTCTGTCAAATAAATAAATAAAATCTGTAAAATATATATATATATTAAAAAAAAAAGATTGGGGAAAGGAATATCATGCTGTTAGTCTTTTTATCAATTACTAATTCTTTAGTATTTAATAGGAGCAAATGCTTTCCAGTAACTGTCATTATTTCAACCCTAAATCTGTAGGCAGGTGAATATCCCACCTGGAAAAGCCAAAGTGGAACACAGATGGCTTCAAATATTCCATAAAATATTAAATCTTCTGCTGTCAATTAGAATTCGGGAGTAGGAATTCCAGATTCTCCTAGAATCACCTCACTGATACCTCTTCGTTCTGAACTGGGAGCCTGCAACCCTAGACCTGCTTTCTCTGAGGTTGATTTCATTTTCTAAAATGTTCCATGCATTCGTCCAATACATATGTGTTCTGTGTGTCTATCACACCCTAAGTTCTGTTCTAGGCACAGGGTCTCTTCTTGGTTCTGGTGGTGTCAACGCTCACAATGCTAAGAACTTTTTATAGGAATTTCTAGGACAAACTTTTCCGAAATCTACAAATATTACCTTTTGCAATCCCAGAGTAAGAGGGGCTCATCTGCTGCCTTGAATCCACCATTCTTTCTACCCTCTGCCCGGGCCCCAACACCCAGTCACATTGTCATAGCCTCTTCAAGAAGCCCCACGAGGGGACATAGAGGAGAGAAATACTATTTTCCGTCACATAACTCCAATGCGGGAGAGGAAAGTGTTTGGCGAAGTCAATGTAATCGGGTAGAGGAGGAAATAAAAGAAAAAGAGCAGGAATAAAAAGAAAAGGAAGAAGGAAAGGAATAGTCTATTCAGAAGCACTTAGGAGTTGGGTGAATTCCAAGCTCTAGAACCATACCTTGAATACAACTGACTGGGATAACCACCTTCATAATAGTCAACCCTGGACACAGGCTGATGATGCCTTTCCCCAGGCCTGGACACATAACAGGGCTGCTGGTGGTCTGTCCTGGGGTCCTGCTGTGACGGGGGGCTCCCGTGGTACCTCTCTCCATTGTGCCAAGAGTGAGGAACGGGCCGATGAATTCCATCTCTCCGAAGCCCTCGGCTTGGATCCTTTGCTGGTGCTGTGGGCCTCCCCCATGGCTGCCGTGGCCACTGGGGAGCCCAAAATTCCATCCCTGACCCTCAGAATTACTCTCGTGTTTTTAATCGGTTGTGTAGTTATTTTCTCTTCCTGCAGACGAAAAAATAAAATAAAAAGGTCACCATTTTAGGCTTATATCCAAACGTGATGACTGATTAGGTTTTGCGAAAAAAGCACCTACGGTCCTCAAATCTTTTATCTAAAACAAAACACACAGATACTAATATAGAGATATCTGGGAAAAAATGTCAAGCAGATACATGAAATAACAGGCTAGACAATTATACTGGTGTTGCATTAAAAATTAAAAAATATATTTGGAGTGGGGCGCCTGGGTGGCTCAGTTGGTTAAGCGACTGCCTTCGGCTCAGGTCATGATCCTGGAGTCCCTGGATCGAGTCCCTGGATCGAGTCCCTGGATCGAGTCCCTGGATCGAGTCCCGCATCGGGCTCCCTGCTCGGCAGGGGGTCTGCTTCTCCCTCTGACCCTCCCGACCCTCCCCCCTCTCATGTGCTCTCTCTCTCAGTCTCTCTCTCTCAAATAAATAAATAAAATCTTTTTTTAAAAAAAAATATACATATATATATATTTGGAGCAACAATAGATGTGGGAGGCAGGGGAGACAGAGAACAAACAGAGATAAAGCTCTAAAACACTATCAAAGTATTCTAATTAAATACGTGTTTGTTCATTTATCCCACCAGCAATTATTCCTTCAACAATTACTGCGGAGGCCCTCGGCTCTCAGAGAAACAGGTGAGCTGAGAGCTTAGCCAGAGTTTAAATCTTAACTCTGCCACTTATTCACTAATTTTTTCAAGCCTCAGTTTCCTTGAGAAATAGAATGGGGACCAGAAGGACTGGCTTTGCAGGGATATTGTCAGAGTCGGTGATAACTTATGAAAAGCGCCCAACACACTGCCTGGTATATGGTAATTGTTGGTTGTAACAGTAGTTGATGTTATCAGAGCTAAGATTAGGGCAGTATGAATGGAGGAAGACATTTCCTAAACAAAAAGAAGCTTAAATTGACCTCAAGAGACATCTTTTCTGAATCCTTAACCTCTTAGAAGAACAAGGCTCTATAATGTGGCCCTGGCTGCCCCTCCTCCAAGGGAATCAAGTTTGGGATTGCTCTCATGACCCGCTAGCCAGCCATATCTCCATGATCTTCCCGGCTGGAAATTTTTAAATCTGGAAGTCTCCCAGCATCAAATTAATTTTCCCCACTTATTCTTCAACATGAGAAATAGCTCTGAAGACATATCGTCTTCCAAGTTCCTCTGCTCCATATCACAGAGGGGCACCTACTGCCAGTTGCCTTCAGAGGGAAAACTTGGGGATTCTCCTACCTCAGGAGAATATATTAGCTCAGTCAGACCCCATGTTTTTTCTCTCTTGGGAACTGTTTTAGGTTGAAAGATTCTGATCAAATACAGTTAACTTGCTCTCACTCCTGAAACTCCCAGTCTAACATAAAAAAAATTGTATCAGAACAAAAGGTCAAAGGGTATATGTTGATATCAAGATATCACTGTGCTTGAATGCCACGGGGCCAGGGTCCACAGCTATGAAGCTATGAGCCAAAGCTGTAAGCAGAACATAGGAGAAGAGAAGTGCCTTCCACCTCAAGATCAATTACAGCTCAGAAAAACTTGTACCTTCCTTCCTGTGTCAGCCCCCTCCCTTGAAAATAGCCAGGTGCATTACAAGCCTTTTCCAGCGAATCCCAGCAAAAGCCAAATGCCCCAACACAGTGAAAGGGCACATGGGTCTTTCCTGAAGGTCCGTGGAACTTAATACCATTTGGACGCAAGTAAGCTCAACAAGAAGAAAGGCTCTTTTGCCTTGTCCCCAGATATTTTCACTAGACAGCCCTTCTTCAGTCTCAAAGGCACAATACCCGATCCCTTGGCTGAAATCACATCATTCTGTTGCTGACATATCAACTCCCATAGGTTAGGCCTCAGGTTATTAAGGACCCCAAATGAAAAGCACCCACGATTCTCAAAGTGGAGACCTCGCATCTACGGTGACAAGCCACATTTTTGCATTCACGTAAGTGACCCTCCCAGGCCCCAGCAAGGGTGAAATTGCTTTTCCTAATCTGACAGTACAGCACAGCCAAGAGAAAGGGAGCAAGGGGGCTAGCGTCCCCACACACCTGCTGGGTGGCTTCCCCCCTTCCTCCAGCGCCGCTTCCTCCAGCACTCTCCAGGCCCAAGAGCGTCTCTCTCCTCTTGGGGAATGTCAAAGTCCAGGTGCCACATCTACTGAGACTTACCTGGCCTTCAGATCTCCAGCCCGTCAGGTGCCTGTTGCAACCGCCCAGCCTCCACGGAGCTGATTCACTAGGGCGAAGTCCAGCCCCACTACTTTAGTCTGGGACAGGCCTGACCTGGCGCATTTGCTCAGAACCCCGCCGGAGGCTGGTGCATCTATTTGCCCGGTCATGGGCTGAGCCCTTGTCGCTGGCATCCAAATCCCAGAGCAAACAAGGAACAGAGACAGCAGGGAGAGGAAATGCAGAAAGCCTGAGGCAGCCTGGCCTGGGGAGAAGCGCACCACCTGTGGGGTGTTGACTCACGGCCACTGCGGGTTCTAGTGCTCAACCTCGGAGTCCGCTTCCTTCTCTCTCAAAGATGAATAAGAGGGGCGCCTGGGTGGCTCAGTCAGTTAAACGTCTGCTTTTGGCTCAGGTCTTTGTCTCAGGGTCCTGGGATGGAGCTTTGTATCAGGCTCCCTGCTCAGCAGGGAGTCTGCTTCTCCCCCTTCCGTTGCCCCTCCCCCGCATGATCTCTCTCTCTCTCTCTCAAATAAATAAATAAAATCTTTTAAAAAGTAAAATAAAAAAGGAGTAACAGTACTTAGCTTCTGAGAGTCATTATGAGGATTGGATGTTAGTAAATTGGCACATGATATAGAAATACATATGCTCTATAAATAAGTAGGATGCTTTTCCTTTCAAAAAAGATGAGCTAATTCCACTGGTGGAGGCAGGCAGAGCCCTCACTGCTGGGTGGTAACCACCTGGTTTGTCTGGTTCGGGGTTTTCTCATTCGTGTTTCTCTCTGTTGGGTTCTGGTTGTGGCAGCAGATGGGAGGCAAATGCCCGATATTGCACTGAAGGCACTGAGAAGTTTTCTATTACAAAAAGAAAATCATCGTTTGCATTTTAAAAATGCATTTCTTCAGGCAAACATAGAGAAGCTTATGTCCACTTTTGAATCACTGTTTTAAAATTCAGCAAATCATCGTGTTAAACACCTTAAGCTCGCATAATGTTATATTTCAATTATATCTCAATAAAGGTGGGGGGAAAATAAATAGAATTCAGAATTTGCTCTAAAAGGGCCCAAATCACACATTCTTTCAACAAACACTTCCTGAGGGCCTATTACCTGCCAGGACTTGAGACAGGTAACTATGAAAGACACAGTCCTTGACTTCAAAAAGCAGAAACAAGTTAACCTCTCATGTTGCTACTAGTTCAGGGAAGACCAGCTTGGGTGGGTCTCATGGTCAGAGAAGGTAACATACCTAAACTATAAGACTTTGTCTCAGACCCCCAGCTGACTCCTAGGGCCTGGCAGCTGGGTGTAGAATTCTCTGACCGCAGGAATGGTTTCTTACTCCACTGGTAAGCCATTGGCTTCTTTAATCCTCCTGAGAAGAGGTACTAGAGAAGGACACACACATTAGCAGCAGGAATCAGAAGAGGGCTGATTATGACCCAGACCCAGGTATCCAATTATGTTTTCCAGTATATCACAATAATATTCCTGAAAATCTGATGTAACTCTTCTGGCTTATGACATGGTGCTGGTCCTGCCCTGAGCACCAGCTAGCTACAATCCTGGAATGTTAACTCTGGGCGGGACCTTGAGGTTATTCTAGTGACTTCACTTTGTTGATGATAAAACTAAGATCCTGAGAAGTGAAGTGATTTACCCAAGACCGCAAAGCTAACTGGCTCAGTCAGGATTACGGTGGTATGCTGGAGTTACCTTGCGCCGGGCTTCCAAGAGCCGATTTAAGAACATTCAGGAATGGTGTGAGCCAGTAGTTAAACTACCGCTAATCTGGAATCCACCATGGTGGGAGAATTTACACAGAAACTCCCAAATGCTACAAAGCCAGGTTGTTGTTGTTGATTTCAGAGGGCCAGTTTAGCAGCATACTGAGGACACCCCAAAGTCCTCCTTCCTGATTCAGTGTTCTTCCAACTACAGAATTATCATTCTGTTACTAGCTTTCATTGCACATCTCTCGTTTAAATATCTAGCCCAGTTATTCCAAATGCTGTTTTTGTGACATCCCAAAGCATCTCTAATTATCTCAAGAGTTATTATGAAACTCTTCAAACACTCACCAACCAAAATTAATTTTAATTAGCTTTAATTATTTCATACTGACATATGGCATACAACAGTTATATGGGTCATGGAATGAAATAAATAGTGGTGGAATCTCACCACTTCAAAGGTTTGGGATTTATCAATCTCTGCCTTTCCCAGCCCCACATACCTACAGTTACTAAATCTTTTAACCTAGCAGCTCATTTCCTCCTGGTTTCTAACCAAATCTTCCCAGCTTGACAGTACATTAGCAGCTTGTCCCCACCAGGAGGTGGGCTAAAATTAGTCCCGTCACCCCAAGTCCTGGTGGCAATGCCCTTGCATGATCCCATAGGTTTCCTCATGCTGGAACAGCTACAGTTTTCACATTATCCCCTTCCCCAGGTGTCCTGTCCTTATGTCTGACTCCTGCTCTTCATTCTAACTATCCACTGGAATTGGAACCCGGGCCGCTTGCTAATTGATGTGAATTTCCTTTCCCAATCTCTGTTCCCCTTTCCAAATGCCAGGCCACTGATGAAAGTCTTGCTTCACATAGGAGTAACTACCCTGATTTGACACCTGTCTAACAAAAGTATCATCGCTGCTAGTAACGCTGTTAATCTCTCCCCACCGGACTAGTGCTGATAGATGTGAATAGATGACTGCTTACTCTTGCAAGGGACAACCCACCAGCTGAGACGTGCCCCAGGCTTGACCCCATTCCTTTACTAAAAATAAAAATTTAGAAA